CTCTGTATTTTCCGCTGGCTGTCCCACCACCACAGAAAGCACTAAGCTAGGCTGAAACACCTGCATTTTGGAGCTACCTTACTCAAGAAAGCAAAAAATAGACCATGTTTGCATGCAACTTTATTAACTCAATGATTATTAATTTTTTTACATTGTTTGCAAACTAATAAGTGACACGTATTAATGGCAAAATAACATGCAAAACAGGCTAAACAAATAAATAAATAAATATATATATATATATATATATATATATATTTTTTTAGCTAAACAGGTGGGGCTCAAAACAGCTGGGGCTGTGTTTTCTTAATTTTCCTTAAATTTGCAAGAGGCTGAATGTATCTCACCGGAGAAAGCATCCGAGTGAGCGAAACAGCGCCCGTCTCTGTATGTGTAGGCCATCTATCTGATGCGGTCTGGTCATAAAGAGTATGACATTGTTGCCGCTAGTAGTATTGAATGCAAGGGAAGCCAGCAAGCACTTGGCCTCCCTTGATTAAAAAAAGTATGAACTAATAGACAATCAGCGTTGAGCTAAACTGAGTGAGCTCAACTGTGAATGGTCCTGGCGCACCAAAAAGAAAGTGTCAAGGGAAGCCAGTTTGGATTTGGCTTCACACTTATCACAGAGAAATACGTCATCGATAAAAACAACTTGAATTGTTGCATCTCGTTGTGTTGTTGTCCTCCGGTGGCTAGCTAGCTTGCTAAAATCGGCCCTTTCCTAAATAAGCCATGGATGGAGATAGGGATTTGGACATGTGGTTTAACTTCATTCTCCGTACTGGCCAATGATTATAACGGCGATTCTGATCCAAGCATAAAATACATTGTGCCCCTGGACTGAGAGGATGGAAGTTCAATATGTAGCTAGCTAACGTTGTCAATGAAAGGACGTTAGACCTAGCGAGCAAGCATTTTAGCCAGGTAGCCTAGGACAACAAAAAATAAAAGTGTGTACTGTATGACAGAGTCATAGACCGTTTCATCAACATGAAAGAGAGGAGGATGGCATTGGCGTTTACAAGTAGGGTGAGTCAACATGTTTTTTCTAATTGCACACACACACACACACACACACACACACACACACAAACAAACAAACAAATCAGAACCATGGACAGCCACATCATATTTAGCTTACGTTGATTGGACTAACTTGTTTTTGGTATCTTTTAGTTGTCACTGTATTAGACTGAGCATAGGTGATTTGATGATGTTGAAGTTGAAATGGTGGTGGAATAGTGGAGGCAGCTCCTGTTTTCTTTGCGACTTGCCGTAACTCTCTGTGGTTCTAAATCAATAGTTGTTTAGTAGTCCGAAAATGTCGGAAACATTAACTTTCTTGACCATGCTGCAGGTCATGTAACTGTTTGTTACATGCAATATGCTTTGAGGACTTCACCGGACAGAGGTTGTCTACGGTTTTGTGATGAAACTAAGGTGCGGTTGAATTTATTCTACCACTGTCTCTTCTTATTGTCTCGGCCTTAGGCATGTATCACGGTCGCTAGGCATATGAACTAACAGATTAAGAGCAACCAACGCAATTATCACAACACATAGGTTGTAATATGGTTTTTTTTCTGGCTTGACTTCCCCAGTGATTTTACCCACGCACCGCTACTGCAAACGTTTCTAAACTTTATTAGGGTAATATCAAAAGTAAGTCAAGCCATTGTTTATAGGGAATATACGAGCAGAAGAGTGAATGTAATCCAGGGAAAAAACGCAATTCCCTCCCATGTGCCCAATAAAAAAAACACCCAACCCTCCCCAAAGCCCCCCCAAAAGTTTGACACCCTCCCCTATTTTGGACCACCCCTCCCCCAGTAACTTTTTATCTGTCCCTTAGCTATTCCGAGCTTTTTCCATGTATTCTTCTGCTTAATGTTGCTTTTTATCCTTTAAGGTGAATCGCTTTGAAATATATTTTCCAAACTACAATATAAGCTTATTTTTTTATTGTTTGCTTTAATATAAACATATCTCTGGCATATCAGTTCATATCGTGTCCATATTGTCCATGGAACAACACACAACCAATTTTTACAGACTTTTACAGTCATTCAAACTTCTAAAAAATATCTATACAAGAGATGTTTAATTCAAACAAGAGTATCCCTGTTTGGCTGGTCTTTGTCAGGGAAAGGGAAAAGTCTTGGGTGAGGGAAGAATATCTTGCTGCCTGGGAGGCTGTGTCATCTGTAGTAGTGTACATAGGAGCGCTCCAGGATGAAGTAGCGTCGCGGCGAGGCCTTCAAACAGTGCTGGTCCACGGGGAATGGAAAGGGGAACAGGCTGACCCTCGGCAGGGGCAGGGTGAGGAACGGGGTGAAGCCCATGAGGACAGGGCGGTTTGGGAGAGGGGGCAAGATCACACCTATTTTGAAAGAAAAGAGACCAAGATGAGATGATATACAGTGCATTCGGAAAGTATTCCGACTCTTTGACCTTTTCCACATTTTGTTACGTTACAGCCTTATTCTAAAATGGATTAAATAAATAAAAATCCACATCAATGTACACACACAATACCCCATAATGACAAAGCGAAAACAGGTTTTTCGAAATGTTGCTCATTTGTTAAAAATAAAAAACAGAAATACCTTATTTACATAAGTATTCAGACCCTTTGTTATGAGACTCGAAATTGAGCTCAGGTGCATCCTGTTTCCATTGATCATCCTTGAGATGTTTCAACAACTTGATTGGAGTCCACCTGTGGTAAATTCAATTGATTGGACATGATTTGGAAAGGCACACACCTGTCTATATAAGGTCCCACAGTTGACAGTGCATGTCAGAGCAAAAACCAAAGTCGAAGGAATTGTCTGTAGAGCTCCGAGACAGGATTGTGTCAAGGCACAGATCTGGGGAAGGGTACCAAAAAATGTCTGCAGCATTGAAGGTCTGCAAGAACACAGTGGCCTCCATCATTCTTAAACTGAAGAAGTTTGGAACCACAAAGACTCTTCCTAGAGCTGACCGCCTGGCCAAACTGAGCAATTGGGGGAGAAGGGTCTTGGTCAGGGAGGTGACCAAGAACCAGATGGTCACTCTGACAGAGCTCCAGAGTTCCTCTGTGGAGATGGGAGAACCTCCCAGAAGGACAACCATCTCTGCAGCACTCCACCAATCAGGCCTTTATGGTAGAGTGGCCAGACAGAAGCCACTCCTTAGTAAAAGGCAAATGACAGCCCACTTTGAGTTTGCCAAAAGGCACCTAAAGACTCTCAGACCATGAGAAACAAGATTCTCTGGTCTGATGAAATCAAGATTGAACTCTTTGGCCTGAATGCCAAGCGTCACGTCTGGAGGAAACCTGGCACCATCCTTACGGTGAAGCATGGTGGTGGCAGCATCATGCTGTGGGGATGTTTTTCAGCGGCAGGGACTGTGAGACTAGTCAGGATCGAGGGAAAGATGAAAACCTGCTCCAGAGCGCTCAGGACCTCAGACTGGGGCGAAGGTTCACCTTCCAACAGGACAACAACCCTAAGCACACAGCCAAGACAACGCAGGAGAGGCTTCGGAACAAGTCTCTAAATGTCCTTGAGTGGCCCAGCCAGAGCCCGGACTTAAACCAGATCAAACATCTCTGGAGAGACCTGGAAATAGCTGTGCAGCGACGATTCCCATCCAACCTGACAGAGCTTGAGAGGATCTGCAGAGAAGAATGGGAGAAACTCCCCAAATACAGGTGTGCCAAGCTTGTAGCGTCATACACAAGACGACTCGAGGCTGTAATCGCTGCCAAAGGTGCTTCAACAAAGTACTGAGTAAAGGGTCTGAATACTTATGTAAATGTGATATTTCAGTTTAGAATTTTTATACATTTGTAAAAATGTCTAAAAACCTACTTTTGCTTTGTCATTATGGGGTATTGTGTGTAGGTTGATGAGGAAAAATAAATACATTTAATCAATTTTAGAACAAGGCTGTAATGTAACATCATGTGGAAAAAGTCAAGGGGTCTGAATACTTTCCGAATGCACAAGCTCTATGCTGAAATGGTTGTTAAGAGCTATTGATTGAATGGATATTCTGTTTACCATACTACAGTGAAGGCTAAACCTTACCTGGAGGCTTGCGTATCCTGGACATGCTGTAGGTCTCTCCAAGACGCTGGATTGGCTCAGATCTAGATGAGAACGCACACACACAACGAAGCAATGTGTCAGAATATTGCGTTACGAGCAGAAAGGTGAGGTATGTGACATTTGTTTATGTGTGTGGGGGGTACATCTGTCTGGTACCTGAAGGATTCAGGGAGCCGCAATACTGTGTCTTTGCGCCCCTCTGGTGGGACAGTCTGTGCCTTCAAAAACATATCCCTTTTCACAGAACAGAAGTAGTTGAGCACATCCACTGGGGTGAAGAGGTTCTTCTTCCCAGCGTTCTTCAGGAACATAGACCTGTTCTGGCCCTGCAGATCAGAGAGAGGGGAGACCAGCTATCAGTGGTGGCTGGTGGTACTTGAAATCGGACGGGCTCATAGTAATGGCTGTAATGGAATTATGGAATGGTGTCAAACATGGTTTCCATATGTCTGATACCATTCCATTAACTCCATTTCAGCCATTATTATGAGCCATCCTCTCCTCACCAGCCTCCTCTTCCAGATATTGCTTGGCAGACCTACCATGTTAAACAGGCAAGAACCAGTTTGGGAAGCAGTTGCGCCACGCTGCGCTTGCCAGTAATCTCATATGCTCATATTAGTTCTCATATGCTCATATTTAGAGGTGTTAGGGTCAATTAAAAGGACATTGGCAGCCCAGAGCAGTGCATTGCTGATTAATTCCTCCTGCCCCTGATCTTCTCCTTCTACTTATTTTTATTGGCGGTGGTTGAGGTGAGTTTCTAAGTGCTTTGAGCGTCTGGAAAAGCACTATATAAATCTAATAAATTATTACCTTGTATTTTGAGGTCCAGGAGTCCAGCCACTCTGCAGCCATCTCTCCCAGGCTCTTCCAGGAATCAGGCTGGTCCTGGACCATGGAGTCCCAGGGATCCATCTCCATGGCCAGCCACGGGTCAGCATCCTCCACGCCCATCACCTGCAGCAGGCACATCACTGTTTTCCTGCCAACAGGAGGACCAGACACACAGAGGTCACCATTCACTGGTTGCCACCCAAATGGCACCCTATTCCCTATATATTGCACTACGTTTGACAAGGGCACTCACTATCACAGCCAGATGAATCAGAGCTCAGCATTCACCATTACAGGGAAGCAGAGTTGAGGACTTACTATGGTGACCTTAATGAAAGTGTGTATAGACAAAGACTGGTGCGGCATAGACTCACTGTAGCCCCAGTTCTTTGTGAGCCAGTAGATTGAGGAGCTCCACAATGATCTCATGGCTTTCGGGACCCAGACACACCAACACGTTGAGTATTTCACTCACCACTCGCTGCTCCTCATCGGACTGAAACACACACATACACACAAACCCAAAGACAGTTTAAAATCCAAATTCACAATGGCGAAATAAACCCAGATTCAACATTACAAAGCATACCAAATTCCACAAGAGAGGACATACCATATCTGATGAGGTGTTGTTGCGTAGAGAACCCATAAGCCCCTTTCTGAGCTTGTCTGTGTTACCTAGCTCCCCCTGTCTGCGTAGAGTGAGCAGCGCGCTCAGGATCCTCATCTTTTGTTGGACGCCACAACTCTGCATGTAGTCCAGCATCTGCATGGAGAACTCCTCAGGGCACAGGGACTGCCGGATACGCTTCACAAACACAGGAACACCACCAAAACATTAGTCTCATTGCCCTAGTCCCAAATGGCACCCTATTCTCTATATAGTGCAATACTTTTGACCAGAGCTCAATGGGGGCTCTCATAATCGAAAATAGTGCACTAAATAGGGAATAGGGTGCCATTTGGGATGCAAACTTCCTGTTGAAAGAGAAAATACAGACAACAAAAACCTATAGGAGCAGCTGATAAATTACAGCAGTGGTATTCACCTCCCCAAATAATGACACAACCTTAAAATCGGTACATTTCGATTTTTACATCAACAAATAACCTTCAATTCATTACATTTTCATCTCTTATCAAAATGAAAAGAAACCAATTAATACATTTACTCAATAAAATTGTATTTTCATTATCTTTCTCAAAAACGTTTGTATATTGTCCCAGTTCCACAGCGCGACCCTGACTTTGAATACCACTGAATTACAGGGTTTCTAAGGAATCTTCCCCAGTAGAATAATGAGTTAGAACTAAGGGTAATTTTTGGGATGAAAAATGGTGTGCTTGCTTCAGTTATAAGACTCACCCTTTGGTCTGGGTAGATATCCTTGAACCAGTCCTCCTCCACAAACTGTTTAAGGAATCCTGGGATCTCGGGGGTGGGTGTGCGGGGAGGTGTTGGGGTTCTAGGGGGAGGTGGGATCGGCGGTTTGGGTATCTTAGTGGGAGGGACAGCCTTTGGAGGCTAGAAGGGGAACACATAACATTCATCAGACCTGGGCCTGTATGCACAAAGCCTCTCAGAGTAGGAGTGCTGATCTAGGATCAGTTTTGTCTTTTAGATCATAATAAATAACATTATAAGGAAAGATCCTAGATCAGCACTCCTACTTTGAGACTCTTTGTGGATACGGGCAACGAACACAAGACAGCTACCCTTCATACAGCCCCCATACCAGAGGCGGCTGGTGAAGGGAGGACAGGCTCATAATGATGGCTGGAATGGAATCGAATGAATGGAAAGTATCAAACACACAGTTTTCATGTGTTTGGTACCATCCCATATTCCATTCCAGCCATTATGTCACGCCCTGGCTCTGGGGACTCTTATGTTGAGCCAGGGTGTTAGTTTCTATGTTGTAGTTTTCTAGGTTTCTGTTCTAGATCGTTGTATTTCCATGTTGGCCAGGGTGGTTCCCAATCAGAGGCAGCTGATTCTCGTTGTCTCTGATTGGGAACCATACTTAGGCAGCCAGTTGGCACTTTTGTATTGTGGGATCTTGTTCCGTGTTGGTTTTGTGTCTGTTACCTAGGACTTCACGTATCGTTTTGTTGTTTTGTTCCGTGTGGAAATAAATAAGTATGTTCGCAAATCACGCTGCGCATTGGTCCACTGTGTATGACGATCGTGACACATTACAATGAGCCGTCCTCCGATATTTCCGGGCACCACTGCCATATAACCATACACCACTAGCAACGGTCATCTAAATTGTTTTTAAAAAACAATTCTAATAAGTGCAACAGTTGAATGAAGATACTCTAAACTTTTAGAATTTAAAAAAACCATTACATATTGACTGAATTATAGCACATAAAACATTGTACTTGCACAGACAAATAATGGAGTTCAGGCATTTTGGTGGGAATTCAGGTATTCAATTTATTGTACAAATGTTATTTATTTTCTTATAATGCACTCATGCAGTATATACATTTTCTTTGTATATCTGGTATTGTTTTATTACTTTGTGATCAAATAAAGAAAATTGTATGTGCCTGATTTGCATATATACACTAGGTGTATTTTGCATTCATGAATAAATGTATAGAAAGGGGTGGAACAGGGCTGCCACCACCAAAAACTTGCTCTGTCTAGGCCTACCTGTGCTCACCTGCACTTTCTAGACTTCCTCATTAATACTGTTGTCATGTTCTCTTGCATAATTCAACAAGTGTGTCAAGAGAAGGATACCCACACAATTTAAAAAACTTGCTCTCCTTTTCAAAACGCTTGGCTCTAGTTGACATCTATCTAAACATACTTTACATTGTTGTGAGATCAGACATAGTATCACCATAATCAGTGGTCATTTTTGGAAGTTGCTTTCATTTCAGCGCATCATATTTGTAAACATTTCAACTGTACGAAATCATTACTTCTTCAATTGCACAAAAAATGAACACTCACCAAAATAAAGTTATCCTTCTTCTCTTTCTTGTGATGTAAGTGTCGAGACAGTGCACTAAATCCCTAACGAAGCGTTAGAGTTCTTATAGATGCCACGGAAAGCCAATGTATTCCATTGATCCCATTTCAGCCATTATGGGAGTGTGTTTGACAGGTCATTACAAACGTTTCCGCGGTCGCTACGTGAACGGGAAAAAACAAATGCCGCAGGCAAGAGTGGGAAAGAGTCGCAAGAGTAAAATTAAAGCCATCAATCCAGCGGGATTTCAGCGATAAGTGGATTCTGCACCCTTCAAACACAGGAAATGGATGGCTGAAAAGAAGAGATCCAAAGGTGGGAGGGGCATGTGCGTTGCTAATAAACCACTCACCCTCATTACGTAGGCTGGCTTCTCTGGAGGTGGGGGGCTCTCCTCTTTCGGAGGGGTCTTCACCAGCTGTATGGGGGAACCTATGTCCAGTTCGTAATCGCTCTCATACACCAGCAACTGAACCTCTTCAGTATCACTCTGTGAAGAAAACCAAACCAACAACCTGTTTGAGATTCTCTCAATCTTATCACATAACATACACAGATTCTCCTCTTCTGGGGCCATATGTATCAAGCATCTCAGAGTAGGAGTGCTGATCTAGGATCAGCTCCACATGTCCATGTAATCTTATACATTGTGATCTAGAAGGCAAAACCGATGCTGAATCTGGTCTCTGTAAACATCCTCTCACCTCCTCCTCATAGTCCAGCTCGTCCCTCAGTTTGAATGGTTGCTTGGGGATTGTGTTTTCCACCACAACGTCTGGCCACAGTTGGCCCACTAGCACTGAGTTAGGGATGAAGCCCACCGGATTGCTCTGCGCTGGGGCTGGCTCTAGCTCCTCATCCTGCAAGGGGACAGACAGAGGACTAAGGGAGGTGTGGTTACTTTGTCTCAATCTATCTATTACTTAGCTTCAGGAAGTAGAGGACAACAGACATATATGCTAAACTGAACCAGTGGCCCTCACCTGCGCTGGCTTGGTTATGGGTGGCAGGGGCTTGGCCAAGTTGGGGTTTGGGAAGAAGCCCTTCCTGAAGGTGGGTGGGGTGAATGGTCGACGGTCAGGTAGTTTTGGAGGAAACAGAACTGCATGAAGATCAAATATGTCCTCATCCCCGATCTGAGATATAATCAGAACAAACGTTCATTAGTCTGCATATCCACAATGCATTCCCACTCTCAAGTAAAGACATTTGTCCTTTCACATAAAACATTACATTATAGGTGAGGCTATGGGTTCTTCTCTCTACATTCAAAAAAATGGGCACATACAGCTTTTATCATCACTCTGACTCCACTTGGCAGAGTGTGACACTCTGGCTCCGGGACTTTTGTATTTGAGCCAGGGTGTATTTGTTTTGTTGGGTTTTGTTGTGGGGTTTGTTGTATAGGGTGTATTCGGTTGGTTGTGTTTTGGGTGAGTTAATTGTGGTGTCGTGTGACTCCCAATCGGAGGTAACGAGTGTCAGCTGTCGGCTCGTTATCTCTGATTGGGAGCCATATTTAAACTATTTGTGTTCTCATGAGGGGGTGGGTTTTTGTTCCAGGTTCAGTATTTGTCACTGTTGGACTTCACTATCGTCTTTTGTTTTGTAGTTACGTGCTTTATCAATTAAAGTCATCATGTTCACTCAACGCGCTGCGTATTGGTCTGCTCCCTTTATAGACGGTCGTGACAGAAAAACCCACCATAAGAGGACCAAGCAGCGTGTCAAGCGGCAACAGGACCCAGCTCCAAAGGATTCATGGACATGGGAGGAGATTTTGGACGGAAAGGGGTCCTGGACTTGGGAGGAAATCCTGGAGGGGATGGATCGCCGTCCATGGAGCGAGACAGTGGAGAGGCGACGGAGAGAGGAGCAACGGCGTCGGCAGGGCCATCGTCGGAGGGACGAGAGGCAACCCCAAAAAGTTTTTTGGGGGGGGCACATGGCTTGGGCGGCTGGGCAGCAGGAGGCTGCCACAGGGAGACGTGGAGAGAAGGCTATCGGATTACGGGAGCCATTGGCGAGTAGAGGAAGGGAAGTTGTTGCGGCACGGCGTGAGAGACTGATGTGTGTTACCAGTCCGGTCCGGCCCGTTCCTGATCCTCAGTTAAGGCCAGTGGTGTGTGTTCCCAGTACGGACCGGGCTGTTCCTACTCCACGCACCAAGCCCACGGTGTGCGTCGCCAGCCCAGCCCGGCCTGTTCCTGCTCCACGCACAGAACCTACGGTGTGCGTCGCCAGCCCTGCCCGGCCTGTTCCTGCTCCACGCACAGAACCTACGGTGTGCGTCGCCAGCCCAGCCCGGCCTGTTCCTGCTCCACGCACAGAACCTACGGTGTGCGTCGCCAGCCCAGCCCGGCCTGTTCCTGCTCCACGCACAGAACCTACGGTGTGCGTCGCCAGCCCAGCCCGGCCTGTTCCTGCTCCACGCACAGAACCTACGGTGTGCGTCGCCAGCCCAGCCCGGCCTGTTCCTGCTCCACGCACAGAACCTACGGTGTGCGTCGCCAGCCCTGCCCGGCCTGTTCCTGCTCCACGCACAGAACCTACGGTTGTGCGTCGCCAGCCCAGCCGGCTTTTCCTGCTCCACGCACAGAACCTACGGTGTGCGTCGCCACCCCCGCCCGGGCCTGTTCCTGCTCCACGCACAGAACCTACGGTGTGCGTCGCCAGCCCAGCCCGGCCTTTCTGCTTCACGAAATAACCCTACGGTGTGCGTCCCCAGCCCGACCCGGCCTGTTCCTGCCACCCGAAAACCAAAGTTACGGTGCGCGTCGCCAGCCCGACCCGGCCTGTTCATGCCACCGCCCCAAAAACTACGGGCGCGTCGCCAGCCCGGTCCCGGCCCTGTTCCTTCCCCCGCATAGCCCTGAGATGCGTGTCCTCAGCCCGGGACCCCCAGTTCCGGCACCACGCCCCAGGCCTATAGTGCGCCTCAGACGGCCAGAGTTCTGCCGTCTGCCCAACGGGGCCAGAGTCTGCCGTCTGCCCAACGGGGCCCTGAACTGCCCGTCTGCCCAACGGCGATTGAACTGCCCGTCTGCCCAACGGCGCCTGAACTGCCTGTCTGCCCAACGCCGTCTGAACTGTCCGTCTGCCAAGCGCTGCATAAGCCGCCCGTCTGCCATGACCCTTCAGAGCCGTCCGCCAGACCGGAGCCGCTAGAGCCTTCCGCCAGACAGGATCAGCCAGAGCCTTCCACCAGACAGGATCAGCCAGAGCCTTCCGCCAGACAGGATCAGCCAGAGCCTTCCGCCAGACAGGATCAGCCAGAGCCTTCCGCCAGACAGGATCAGCCAGAGCCTTCCGCCAGACAGGATCAGCCAGAGCCTTCCGCCAGCCATGAGCAGCCAGATCCGTCAGCCAGCCATGAGCAGCCAGATCCGTCAGCCAGCCATGAGCAGCCAGATCCGTCAGCCAGCCATGAGCCGTCCAGCCAGGATCCGCCAGAGCCGTCCAGCCAGGATCCGCCAGAGCCAGCCAGCCAGGATCCGCCATTGAGTCCGGGGCTGTCCCTTAGCCCGATGCTGTCCCTTAGCCCGGTGCTGCCCCTTATCCTGGTGCTGCCTCTTAGTCCGGTGCTGCCCCTTAGCCAGGTGCTGTCCCTTAGCCCGGTGCTGCCCCTAAATCCAGGTGGGGTAAGTTGGAGGGTGGTCATGTGGAGGAGGCTAGGGAAGCGGGTGGTGACTAAGGTGGGGTGGGGACCACGACCAGGGCCAGAACCGCCACCGTGGACAGACGCCCACCCAGACCCTCCCCTAGACTGTATGCTGGTGCGCCCGGAGTGCGCACCTTTAGGGGGGGGTACTGTGACACTCTGGCTCCGGGACTTTTGTATTTGAGCCAGGGTGTATTTGTTTTGTTGGGTTTTGTTGTGGGGTTTGTTGTATAGGGTGTATTCGGTTGGTTGTGTTTTGGGTGAGTTAATTGTGGTGTCGTGTGACTCCCAATCGGAGGTAACGAGTGTCAGCTGTCGGCTCGTTATCTCTGATTGGGAGCCATATTTAAACTATTTGTGTTCTCATGAGGGGGTGGGTTTTTGTTCCAGGTTCAGTATTTGTCACTGTTGGACTTCACTATCGTCTTTTGTTTTGTAGTTACGTGCTTTATCAATTAAAGTCATCATGTTCACTCAACGCGCTGCGTATTGGTCTGCTCCCTTTATAGACGGTCGTGACACAGAGTACATTCCTACCCCAATCATCTTGTAGCTAATTGTTCTCAGTTTAAGGAACCTTAATGTTGAGGGGCTGGCTGTAGATGATCCTCATATAGTGGTCGAAGGCCTCCTTCCTGGTTTTCAGCATGGTGGGAGGTTTCCTCTTCCTTCTCTCTGTGGTGCCTTCCTGGAGGGAGGCCAGGTCTCTGTTCCGAGCCAGCAGCGCCTCATACTCCTGATGGACAGGAACAGGGAGGAGAAACTGTCATTACACCACTGGTACATTAGGTATGGGAACACACAAATATATCAAACAAACGGATCAAATCTAAAAAATAATAGTGGAGAGTGGGGTACGTTGAGCCAAAGGGTTAGTTGAGCCACACCTTGTTTCTAGGAAACCATGCACAAAATTAATGTGACCAAATATTTAGGAAGGGGTCATCATTTCATGGAGTCTGTGAAGAAAGAAACTACATGGAAAAAGTGGTAAGCAAGTTACGTCCCAAAAACGTTTTCACAAAGTCAAATGCATTTATTGTGATATAGGTTTCATGACGCTTGTATCTAAACCAAAGTAGATCGTTTTAAGATTGTTTTATACATCAGTTGGGGTCTCTATAAGCTACAATATGAGGTCCTAAACCTAGCATGAAAGTGCATCCTTGTAGCTGTATGGGCTAATATACAGTGCATTCTGAAAGTTTTCCACATTTTGTTACGTTACAGCCTTATTCAAAAATGAATAAAAAAATGTTTTACCTCATCAATCTACACACAATACCCCATAATGACAAAGCGAAAAACAGGTTTTTAGAAATGTTTGCTAATTTATAGAAAATAAAAAACAGAAATACCTTTTTTACATAAGTATTCAGACCATTTGCTATGCGACTCGAAATTGAGCTCAGGTGCATCCTGTTTCCATTGATCATCCTTGAGATGTTTCTACAACTTGATTGGAGTCCACCTGTGGTCAATTCAATTGATTGGACATGATTTGGAAAGGCACACACCTGTCTATATAAGGTCCCACAGTTGACAGTGCATGTCAAAGCAAAAACCAAGCCATGCGGTCGAAGGAATTGTCCGTAGTGCTCTGAGACAGGATTGTGTCAGGCACCGATCTAAGGACGGGTACCAAAACATTTCTGCAGCATTGAAGGTCCCCAAGAACACAGTGGCCTCCATCATTCTTAAATGGAAGAAGTTTGGAACCACCAAGACTCTTCCTAGAGCTGGCCGCCAGGCCAAACTGAGCATTCGGGGGAGAAGGGCCTTGGTCAGGGTGGTGACCAAGAACCCGATGGTCACTCTGACAGAGCTCCAGAGTTCCTCTGTGGAGATGGGAGAACCTCCCAGAAGGACAACCATCTCTGCAGCACTCCACCAATCAGGCCTTTATGGTAGAGTGGCCAGACCGATGCCACTCCTCAGTAAAAGGCACATGACAGCCCGCTTGGAGTTTGCCAAAAGGCACCTTAAAGGCTCTCAGACCATGAGAAACAATATTCTCTGGTCTGATGAAACCAATATTGAACTCTTTGGCCTGAATGCCAAGCGTCACGTCTGGAGGAAACCTGCCACCATCCCTACTGTGAAGCATGGTGGTGGCAGCATCATGCTGTGGGGATGTTTTTCAGCGGAAGGGACTGGGAGACTAGTCAGGATCGAGGGAAAGACGAACGGAGCTAAGTACAGAGAGATCCTTGATGAAAACCTGCTCCAGAGCGCTCAGGACCTCAGACTGGGGCGAAGGTTCACCTTCCAACAGGACAATGACCCTAAGCACACAGCCAAGACAATGCAGGAGTGGCTTCGGGACAAGTCTCTGAATGTCCTTGAGTGGCCCAGCCAGAGCCCGGACTTGAACCCGATCGAACATCTCTGGAGAGACCTAAAAATAGCTGTGCAGCGACGCTCCCCATCCAACCTGACAGAGCTTGAGAGGATCTGCAGAGAAGAATAGGAGAAACTTCCCAAATACAGGTGTGCCAAGCTTGTAGCGTCTTACCCAAGAATAATCGAGGCTGTAATCGCTGCCAAAGGTGCTTCAACAAAGTACTGAGTAAGAGTCTGACCTTTAACTTAAGCATGAGAATAGCATGCTATTCACCCGCTATTCGTTGGGGGTGAAAATCAAAGAAATGAAGGTGTGGCGGAGGTGTGTCTACAGATACACCTCCGCCAAGGGCGGCAGGTAGCTTAGTGGGTAAGAGCGTTGTGCCAGTAACCGAAAGGTCGCTGGTTCTAATCCCCGAGCTGATTAGGTGAAAAATCTGTCGGTGCCCTTGAGCAAGGCACTTAACCCTAATTGCTCCTGTAAGTCACTCTGGATAAGAGCGTCTGCTAAATGACTAATTATTTATTATTTATACACCGTATTCTGACCTTGACTTAATTCCCTCATAATTCCACCACCTTTACGGGCGATTAAATTATGAATAAGGTGTACTAACCTGTCGGTTCCAAGTGGGACAACATCTACTTATTTTTTTCCCGATAGAAATAACACCATTCTCCATGCACTGTTATTTATAAATTGATAAGAGCTATTGATAAGAGCTAGGTAAATGAGTAAGCCATTTGGATAAGGGGATTGTAAATATAAATTACAATTGTTTTAGATCTATTTTACCTTATGATCTCTGGAGACAAATGTGAAACCAGTCATATGGCAGCAAACTGAATCATATCAACATATCTCCTTTTCCACAGTGAAGTTTCTGAAATGCTGGCCTTATAACTTCGGATGAAATTTGGAGACGCAAACTATAGGCTTCTGTAGCCATGTGAAAATGACAATACTGCGCCAAACCTACAGAGTTGATTTATGATTTCTAGAATGTTTTAATTATATGCCCAGACTTTTCACTGTATTTTTTTAAACAATTTGTATCGTGTTAAATATTAGCCACTATCGGTAGCCACCGTCAGTTATACTCACATACATTTATAACTGTCACTGACTTTAGTGTCAGTTTCCTTACATTTGGCATCATTCCATTACATCGTTAGTTTACCTTTCTTTCCGCTGTCACGTTCGTGTGGTTGTTCCTGAGGATCACTAGCAATAGTGGATCATATTAGCCTAACGCATTATAAGTTGTGCAATAATTTGGGACATGTAGCCTATTTCAATCATTATGGAAGGCAGACCATACGTACTGTAGGTAGCAGTTTAAACCTGGAGTTGGCGCACGGTTCACGACGATTGGACCATTGTCATCACAGTTCCATGATTAGTGAGGATTATTAGGGTCGATTTATAGGACTACTTTTCAACCCCTATTGTACACTTTTCTCACCTTCGAATATTTCATGGATTGAACAATTTAATATGGCAACTTTCAAGATTCATCAATATATTTTGTGGGTAAAGGCTCTCCAAACCTGTTTTTTTATTATTCATAAATACTTTCCTAACTCTAAATAATATTCAAGATCAGAGTATTTAAAAATCTACCAATTGGTGCTGAAAAGGAGACGAATATGCGTTTATTTACATGGAGTCTGGGCTTGCTAAACATATCAAGAATTTCGCTGACCACTTTCATGGGTTTAGTAGCCTCAAATGCAGAGAACTTGCCTACGAATTGGCACATCAAAACAACATCCCTGTCCCAGACAACTGGTCAAGAAATGGAAGCGTAAGTAATATTGAACACAGAGATCTAAAGTGGGGACAACAAGTATTTGATACACTGCCGATTTTGCAGGTTTTCCTACTTACAAAGCATGTAGAGGTCTGTAATTTTTATCATAGGTACACTTCAACTGTGAGAGACGGAATCTAAAAAAATCCAGAAAATCACATTCTATGATTTTTAAGTAATTAATTTGCATTTTATTGCATGACATAAGTATTTGATCACCTACCAACCAATAAGAATCCCGGCTCTCACAGACCTGTTCGTTTTTCTTTAAGAAACCCTCCTGTTCTCCACTCATTACCTGTATTAACTGCACCTGTTTGAACTCGTTACCTGTATAAAAGACACCTGTCCACACACTCAATCAAACAGACTCTAACCTCTACACAATGGCCAAGACCAGAGAGCTGTGTAAGGACATCAGGGATACAATTGTAGACCTGCACAAGGCTGGGATGGGCTACAGGACAATAGGCAAGCAGCTTGGTGAGAAGGCAACAACTGTTGGCGCAATTATTAGAAAATGGAAGAAGTTCAAGATGACGGTCAATCACCCTCGGTCTGGGGCTCCATGCAAGATCTCACCTCGTGGGGCATCAATGATCATGAGGAAGGTGAGGGATCAGCCCAGAACTACACGGCAGGACCTGGTCAATGACCTGAAGAGAGACCATTAGTAACACACTACGCCGTCATGGATTAAAATCCTGCAGCGCACGAAGGTCCCCCTGCTCAAGCCAGCGCATGTCCAGGCCCGTCTGAAGTTTGCCAATGACCATCTGGATGATCCAGAGGAGGAATGGGAGAAGGTCATGTGGTCTGATGAGACAAAAATAGAGCTTTTTGGTCTAAACTCCACTCGCCGTGTTTGGAGGAAGAAGAAGGATGAGGCAGGTAGCTTAGTGGTTAAGAGCGTTGTGCCAGTAACCGAAAGGTGGCTGGTTCTAATCACCGAGCCGACTAGGTGAAAAACCTGTCGATGTGCCCTTGAGCAAGGCACTTAACCCTAATTGCTCCTGTAAGTCGCTCTGGATAAGAGCGTCTGCTAAATGACCAATTTATAATTTATTATGAGTACAACCCCAAGAACACCATCCCAACCGTGAAGCATGGAGGTGGAAACATCATTATTTGGGGATGATTTTCTGCAAAGGGGACAGGACGACTGCACCGTATTGAGGGGAGGATGGATGGGCCATGTATCGCGAGATCTTGGCCAACAACCTCCTTCCCTCAGTAAGAACATTGAAGATGGGTCGTGGCTGGGTCTTCCAGCATGACAACGACCCGAAACACACAGCCAGGGCAACTAAGGAGTGGCTCCATAAGAAGTATCTCAAGGTCCTGGTGGCCTAGCCAGTCTCCAGACCTGAACCCAATATAAAATCTTTGGAGGGAGCTGAAAGTCCGTATTGCCCAGCGACAGCCCCGATACCTGAAGGATCTGGAGAAGGTATGGAGGAGTGGGCCAAAATCCCTGCTGCAGTGTGTGCAAACCTGGTCAAGACCTACAGGAAACGTATGATCTCTGTAATTGCAAACAAAGGTTTCTGTACCAGAAACCTTTGTTTGCTTTTCTGATGTATCAAATACTTATGTCATGCAATAAAATGCAAATTAATTACTTAAAAATCATACAATGTGATTTTCTGGATTTTTGTTTTAGATTCCGTCTCTCACAGATGAAGTGTACCTATGATAAAAATGACAGACCTCTACATGCTTTGTAAGTAGGAAAACCTGCAGAATCGGCAGTGTATCAAATACTTGTTCTCCCCACTGTATATCTGAATGTAAGCCTACATTTAAGATATACAATATACCACACCCCCATTCCATGAATTAAACTTTGACCTACCAGCACCATCACCCACTTACCCCAAGGCGGCTTAATTTACCCAGTCCCTATGCTCAACTTACCCCATACCCGGGGTAAGTTGTGCCAAGAGACCACTTTTTTTGTACAAGCTATGTTTTCAAAACGGTTTTGTTTACATGAATTCTGATTATTTTCAGGGACACACAACATTCTGATATATATGTAGATGTGGACAACCTTGAAATTAGTGGATTAAGCCTAAGATCACCATGCGCAATGCCTAGCGTCAGCTGGAGTGGTGTAAAGCTTGCCGCCATTGGACTCTGGAGCAGTGGAAACGCGTTCTCTGGAGTGATGAATCACGCTTCACCATCTGGAAGTCCGACGGACAAATCTGGGTTTGGCGGATGCCAGGAGAACGCTACCTGCCCCAATGCATAGTGCCAACTGTAAAGTTTGGTGGAAGAGGAATAATGGTCTGGGGCTGTTTTTCATGGTTCGGGCTAAGCCCCTTAGTTCCAGTGAAGGGAAATCTTAATGCTACAGCATACAATTAAATTCTAGACGATTCTGTGCTTCCAACTTTGTGGCAACAGTTTGGGGGAAGGCCCTTTCCTGTTTCAGCATACAATGCCCCCGTGCACAAAGCGAGGTCCATACAGAAATGGTTTGTCGAGATCAGTGTGGAAGAACTTGACTGGCCTGCACAGAGCACTGACCTCAACCCCATCGAACACCTTTGGGATGAATTGGAACGCCGACTGCGAGCCAGGCCTAATCGCCCCAACATCAGTGCCCGACCTCACTAATGCTCTTGTGGCTGAATGGAAGCAAGTCCCCGCAGCAATGTTCCAACATCTAGTGGAAAGCCTTCGCATAAGAGTGGAGGCTGTTATTTTTATTTTTATTTATTTCACCTTTATTTAACCAGGTAAGCCAGTTGAGAACAGGTTCTCATTTACAACTGCGACCTGGCCAAGATCAAGCAAAGTAGTGCAATAAAAAACAACACAGAGTTACATATGGGGTAAAAAACATAAAGTCAGAAATACAACAGAAAATATATATACAGTGTGTGCAAATGTAGCAAGTTATGGAGGTATGGCAATAAATAGGCTATAGTGCAGAATAATTACAATAGTATTAACACTGGAATGCTAGATGTGCAAGAGATTATGTGCAAATAGAGATACTGGGGTGCAAAAGAGCAAAATAAATAACAATATAGGGATGAGGTAGTTGGGTGGGCTAATTTCAGATGGGCTGTGTACAGGTGCAGTGATCGGTAAGGTGCTCTGACAACTGATGCTTAAAGTTATTGAGGGAGATAAGAGTCTCCAGCTTCAGAGATTTTTGCAATTCGTTCCAGTCATTGGCAGCAGAGAACTGGAAGGAATGGCGGCCAAAGGAGGTGTTGGCTTTGGGAATGACCAGTGAGATATACCTGCTGGAGCGCAGACTACGGGTGGGTGCTGCTATGGTGACCAATGAGCTAAGATAAGGCGGGGATTTGCCTAGCAGTGATTTATAGATGGCCTGGAGCCAGTGGGTTTGACGACGAACATGTAGTGAGGACCAGCCAACAAGAGCGTACAGGTCACAGTGGTGGGTAGTGTATGGGGCTTTGGAGACAAAACGGATGGCACTGTGATAGACTACATCCAATTTGCTGAGTAGAGTGTTGGAGGCTATTTTGTAAATGACATCGCCGAAGTCAAGGATCGGTAGGATAGTCAGTTTTACGAGGGCATGTTTGGCAGCATGAGTGAAGGAGGCTTTGTTGCGAAATAGGAAGCCGATTCTAGATTTAACTTTGGATTGGAGATTCTTTATGTGAGTCTGGAAGTTGAGTTTACAGTCTAACCAGACACCTAGGTATTTGTAGTTGTCCACATACTCTAGGTCAGACCCGTCGAGAGTGGTGATTCTAGTCGGGTGGGCGGGTGCCAGCAGCGTTCGATTGAAAAGGATGCATTTAGTTTTACTAGTGTTTAAGAGCAGTTGGAGGCTACTGAAGGATTGTTGTATGGCATTGAAGCTCGTTTGGAGGTTTGTTAACACAGTGTCCAATGAAGGGCCAGATGTATACAAAATGGTGTTGTCTGCGTAGAGGTGGATCTGAGAGTCACCAGCAGCAAGAGCGACATCATTGATATACACGGAGAAAAGTGTCGGCCCAAGAATTGAACCCTGTGGCACCCCCATAGAGACTGCCATAGGTCCAGACAACAGGCCCTTCGATTTGACACACTGAACTCTATCTGAGAAGTAGTTGGTGAACCAGGCGAGGCAGTCATTTGAGAAACCAAGGCTATTTAGTCTGCCAATAAGAATGCGGTGGTTGACAGAGTCGAAAGCCTTGGCCAGGTCGATGAAGACGGCTGCACAGTACTGTCTATTATCAATCGCGGTTATAATATCGTTTAGGACCTTGAGCGTGGCTGAAGTGCACCCGTGACCAGCTCGGAAACCGGATTGCATAGCGGAGAAGGTACGGTGGTATTCGAAATGGTCGATGATCTGTTTGTTAACTTGGCTTTCGAATACTTTCGAAAGGCAGGGCAGGATGGATATAGGTCTGTAGCAATTTGGATCTAGAGTGTCACCCCTTTTGAAGAGGGGGATGACCGCGGCAGCTTTCCAATCTCTGGGGATCTCAGACGTTATGAAAGAGAGGTTGAACAGACTAGTAATAGGGGTAGCGACAATTTCGGCAGCTAGTTTTAGAAAGAAAGGGTCCAGATTGTCTAGCCCAGCTGATTTGTAGGGGTCCAGATTTTGCAGCGCTTTCAAAACATCAGCTGTCTGAATTTGTGTGAAGGAGAAGCGGGGGGGGGCATGGGCAAGTTGCAGCAGAGGGTGCAGAGTTGGTGGCCGGGTTAGTGGTAGCCAGATGGAAAGCATGGCCAGCTGTAGCAAAATGCTTGTTGAAATTCTCGATTATTGTAGATTTATCGGTGGTGATAGTGTTTCCTAGCCTCAGTGCAGTGGGCAGCTGGGAGGAAGTGCTCTTATTCTCCATGGACTTTACAGTGTCCCAAAACTTTTTGGAGTTAGTGCTACAGGATGCAAATTTCTGTTTGAAAAAGTTAGCCTTTGCTTTCCTGACTGCTTGTGTATATTGGTTCCTAACTTCCCTGAAAAGTTGCATATCGCGGGGGCTATTTGATGCTAATGCTGTACGCCACAGGATGTTTTTGTGCTGGTCAAGGGCAGTCAAGTCTGAGGAGAACCAGGGGCTATATCGGTTCTTAGTTCTGTATTTTTTGAATGGGGCATGTTTATTTAAGATTGAGAGGAAATTACTTTTAAGGAACAACTAGGCATCCTCTACTGACGGAATGAGATCTATATCCATCCAGGATACCTGGGCCAGGTCAATTAGGAAGGCCTCCTCGCTAAAGTGTTTTAGGGAGCGTTTGACAGTGATGAGGGGTGGTCGTTTGACCGCGGACCCGTTACGGACGCAGGCAATAAGGCAGTGATCGCTGAGATCCTGGTTGAAGACAGCTGAGGTGTATTTAGAGGGTATGTTAGTCAGGATGATATCTATGAGGGTACCCATGTTTACGGATTTAGGGTTGTACCTGGTAGGTTCGTTGATAATTTGCGTGAGGTTGAGGGCATCTAGCTTGGATTGTAGGATGGCTGGGGTATTAAGCATATCCCAATTTAGGTCACCAAGCAGTACAAACTCTGAGGATAAATGGGGGGCAATCAATTCACATATGGTATCCAGGGCACAGCTGGGGGCTGAGGGGGGTCTGTAGCAAGCGGCAACAGTGAGAGACTTATTTCTGGAAAGGTGGATTTTTAGAAGTAGAAGCTCAAACTGTTTGGGCACAGACCTGGATAGTATGATAGAGCTCTGCAGGCTATCTCTACAGTAGATTGCAACTCCACCCCCTTTGGCAGTTCTATCTAGACGGAAAATGTTATAGTTGGGGATGGAAATTTCAGAATTTTTGGTGGCCTTCCTGAGCCAGGATTCAGACACTGCTAGAACATCAGGGTTGGCAGAGTGTGCTAACGCAGTGAATAACTCAAACTTAGGAAGTAGACTTCTGATATTTATGTGCAAGAAACCAAGACTTTTGCGATTACAGAAGTCATCAAATGATAGCGCCTGGGGAGTAGGAGTGATACTGAGGGCTGCAGGGCCTGGGTTAGCCTCTACATCACCAGAGGAACAGAGGAGGACTAGAATAAGGATACGGCTAAAGGCTTTAAGAACTGGTCTTCTAGTGCGTTGGGTACATAGAATAAAGGGGGCAGATTTCCGGGTGTTATAGAAAAGATTCAGGGCATTATGTACAGACAAGGATATGGAAGGATATGAGTAAAGTGGAGGTAAACCTAAGCGTTGGGTAACAATGAAAGAGATAGCATCGCTGGAGGCATCAATTGAGTCGGTCTCCGCGTGTATAGGGGGAGGGGCAAAGGAGCTATCTAAGGCAGGTTTAGCTAGGCTGGGGGGGTCTACAGTGATATAGTACAATTAGAAATAACCGAAACAACAATAAACTAACCATGTTTGGGCTGAGGCTAAACATAAACAGGATGTAGTACCGTAAAAAGGAACAGTCCAGCAGATATCAGCTGTATAGCTGAGTTATCATAAGGTCCGGTGGTGAAGCACTAGTAAGAGGCCACGGCTAGCGTGTGCTAGCGGGCCAGGGCTAGCAGATGGATGGAATCTTCGTGGTTAACGTCGTAACCACATCAGACGATTTCGTCGGCAGACCAGTCGTGTAGGATCGGCGGGGCTCCGTGTCAACACTAGGTGGTCCCGTCCGGTTGACAGAGAGGTAGATAGCCGGGAGATGGGCGATGGGCCTAGCTCAGGATGATTAGCCAGACCACAGCGTCCGTTTTGTTGTAGCTGGCTGGTGGTAGCTAGCTGGTAGCGATGAATCCGGAGTTAAAGGTCCAGTGATTCAGTGATTCCGGCGGAAAAACTGATATGTTCTGGGTCGATAACGCGCTGTGCAGACTGGCCGAATATCCGGTGATCAATGTCCAGTGATTAAAATTAATCCCGCAGAAAAAAATCCAATGTTCTGGGTGAAACACCGCTAGCTGTGGCTAATAGCAAATAGCAAGTAGCTAGTTAGCTGGCTAGCTAGTTTCAACTGGAGATTCTAGATTCTAGATAAAGGTAAGTCAATAATAGAATCCGTTCCACATTGAGTGAGGCGGGTTGCAGGAAAGTATATCTTGTAGAAGGATGAAAAGTCTGATAGGGAAATATGTACGAAAAATAGGGTATTTACAGGCTATTTACAGACAGACGATAAAAACACAACTGCACTACTACGCCATCTTGGATCTATGATGTTATAGCAGCAAAGGGGGACCAACTCTATATTAATGCCCATGATTTTGGAATGAGATGTTCGATGAGCAGGTGTCCACATACTTTTGCGCATGTAGTGTATATTTGTTAGAAAGAATACTTTATTTCTCTTGATATAGTGATGCTGAATATGAGTCTCCCGAGTGGCGCAGCGGTCTAAGGCACTGCATCGCAGTGCTAGAGGCGTCACTACAGACCCGGGTTTGATCCCGGGCTGTATCACAACTGGCCGTGATCGGGAGTTCCATAGGGCGGCGTACAATTGGCCCAGAGTCGTCTGTGTTTGGCCGGGGGGGCTTTACTTGGCTCATCAGGCTGTGGCGGGCCGGGCGCCTGCAGGCTGACCTTGGTCGTCAGGTGAATGGTGTTTCCTCTGACACATTACTGCGGCTGGCTTCCGGGTTAAGCGGGCGGTTGTTAAGAAGCGCGGTTTGGTGGGTCATGCTTCGGAGGACGCATGACTCGACCTTCGCCTCCAGAACCCGTTGGGGAGTTGCAGCGATGAGACAAGATCGAAAAAGGGTGTGAAAATTACTGGTAATCTGTGGATCTCCCAGTAAATGTGTAAAGAGAGACCTTTTGAGCAATGGTAGGATATCATGCCGAGTAGCTTGTGTGTGCACGCAGCCGCACACAGGGCGAAAGTGACATTTTGGGCCAAAATGTGTTATCTATAGATTTACCGTTTTTATTTACATTTATATAATATTCATGTTACATTAACCATTACCTATACATTATAGAGTGTGTGACATGCTTTTGCCTACCATCAGGACTGTGGTCTCCCCCATACCAGAGAATAAAAGTGATGCTGAATGTAAAAAAGGCTCAACTTACCCCACTCTCCTCTACACTCATTTCCATGCAAAGCGCTCTCTCTCTCTTTCATATTCTGGGTAAACTCACTGGATCTTTGGTCATGTCCTGCTTTCCGTTGGGTTGTTTCTCTGGTATGGGGGAGACCACAGTCCTGAAGGTAGACAAAAGCATGTCACACACTCTATAATGTATAGGTTACGGTTAATGTAACATGAATATTATATAAATGTAAATAAAAACGGTAAATCTATAGATAACACATTTTGGCCCAAAATGTCACTTTCGCCCTGTGCACACACAAGCTACTCGGCATGATATCCTACCATTGCTCAAAAGGTCTCTCTTTACACATTTACTGGGAGATCTACAGATTCCCAGTAAATCTGTAGATTTACCAGCGCGAACGGAATCTATAGATTTACTGTTTATACACATTTACTGTAACAAACATATAGTTATAACTTGTCTATGATGTTCATTATGTCACATTATGTAGAGACGGAGGGTAGCTTACTTGGTCTTGCTTGTCCTTGTTGGGGTGTGAGATATGGGCAAGTCAGGGATAGGATTTGACATCTCAGTACAAAGGAGCTTTGGATGTATACAGAGCATAAGCACAGCAAGGTATCATTACACAGTAAGCACACTTAATCAAAAACATTTAGCTAAACCTAACTACATTTTCTCTCTGAAAATGCCTAAACACGTATTCACCCTCCAAGACCCATACATAAGCCATTTAGCAGACGCTTTTATCAAACGCGACTTACAGTAGTGCGTGCATCGATTTTCATACGGGTGGCCCCTGCGGAAATCGAACCCATGACCCTGGCATTGCAAGCACCATGCTCTACCCACTGAGCCACACTAGGACCACCACAAAACACCAGTCTGTCCTCACCACCTCTCCCCAGTACTTCACCACCTCTTCCCCCCCAGTCAGTATACCCGTAGCTGGAAGTCATGTGGCAGCAGGTGGGCGCAGCGAATCCTATACAGGTCCCCTCTGATGCCTAGCAGCAGATCTCCCCTCTCCCCACTGTAGGCCAGACACTCAGGCTCCGCACTCAGCTGGAGGGTTCTTAGAGGGACAAAGACTGCAGAAATTACTAACACACACACACCCCTTACAGAAAAACCACATGAAAATCACATGTGAAATCACGTGAAAATGTGTTTTTGGAACTCTTCACGTTATCACATTAACTTCACATAAGATGTGATCACACGTGTTCACATGTGAAATTCATGTGTTTTTTTCCATAAGGGACACACACAAACACATTGACTGACCTGAGGAGGCGGTTCTCTTCATCCCAGATGCGAACGGTTCCATCCTTACTGCTGGAGGCAAACACTCGGAGCTGACGGCACACACAGAGCCCTGCACTCTCTCACACACACACACACACACACACACACACACACACACACACACACACACACACACACACACACACACACCAACACCAACACACAAAGACAATGAAAAAAACCTTGTCCGAGGATCACCTATATACAGTACCAGTCAAAAGTTTGGACACACCTACTCATTCCAGGGTTTTTCTTTATTTTTACTATTTTCTACATTGTAGAATAATAGTGAAGACATCAAAACTATGAAATAACACATATGGAATCATGTAGTAACCAAAAAAGTTTTAAACAAATCAAAATATATTTTATATTTGAGATTCTTCGAAGTAGCCACCCTTTGCCTTGATGACAGCTTTGCACACTCTTGGCATTCTCTCAACCAGCTTCATGAGGTAGTCACCTGGAATGCATTTCAATTAACAGGTGTGCCTTCTTAAAAGTTAATTTGTGGAATTTATTTTCTTCTTAATGCCTTTGAGCCAATCAGTTGTGTTGTGACAAGGTAGGGGTGGTATACAGAAGATAGCCCTATTTGGTAAAAGACCAAGTCCATATTATGTCAAGAACAGCTCAAATAAGCAAAGAGAAACGACAGTCCATCATTACTTTAAGACCTGAAGGTCAGTCAATCCGGAAAATGTCAAGAACTTTGAAAGTTTCTTCAAGTGCAGTCGGAAAAACCATCAAGCGATATGATGAAACTGGCTCTCATGAGGACCGCCACAGGAAAGGAAGACCCATAGTTACCTCTGCTGCAGAGGATAAGTTCATTAGAGTTACCAGCCTCAGAAATTGCAGCCCAAATAAATGCTTCACAGAGTTCAAGTAACAGACACATCTCAACATCAACTGTTCAGAGGAGACTGCGTGAATCAGGCCTTCATGGTCGAATTGCTGCAAAGAAACCACTACTAAAGGACACCAATAATAAGAAGAGATTGCTTGGGCCAAGAAACACCAGCAATGAACATTAGACAGGTAGGAAATATGTCCTTTGGTCTGATGAGTCCAAATTTGAGATTTTTGGTTCCAACTGCCGTGTCTTTGTGAGACGCAGAGTAGGTGAACGGATGATCTCTGCATGTGTGGTTCCCACCGTGAAGCATGGAGGAGGAGGTGTGATGATGCTTTGCTGGTGACACTGTCTGTGATTTATTTAGAGTTCAAGGCACACTTAACCAGCATGGCTACCACAGCATTCTGCAGTGATACGCCATCCCATCTGACTTGCGCTTAGCGGGACTATTATTTGATTTTCAACAGGACAATGACCCAACACACCTCCAGGCTGTGTAAGGGCTATTTGACCAAGAAGGAGAGTGATGGAATGCTGCATCAGATGACCTGGCCTCCACAATCACCCGACCTCAACCCAATTGAGATGGTTTGGGATGAGTTGGATCACAGAGTGAAGGAAAAGCAGCCAACAAGCGCTCAGCATATGTGGGAACTCCTTCAAGACTGTTGGAAAAGCATTCCAGGTGAAGCTGGTTGAGAGAATGCCAAGAGTGTGCAAAGCTGTCATTAAGGCAAAGGGTGGCTACTTTGAAGAATCTAAAATCTAAAATATATTTTGATTTAACACTTTTTTGGTTACTACATGATTCCATATGTGTTATTTCATAGTTTTGATGTCTTCACTTTTATTCTACTATGTAGAAAATAGTAAAAATTAAGAAAAACCCTTGAATAAGTACATGTCCAAACTTTTGACTGGTACTGAACAAAAATATAAACGTAAATGTAAAGTGTTGGTGCCATGTTTCATGAGCTGAAATAAAAGATCCCAGAAATGTTCCATATGCACAAAAAGCTTATTTCTCTCAAATTCTGTGCACAAATGTATTTACATCCCTGTTAGTGAGCATTTCTCCCTTACCAAAATAATCAATCCATCTGACAGGTGTGGTATATCAAGAAGCTTATTAAACGGCATGATCATTACAGAGGAGCACCTTGTGCTGGGGACAATAAAAGGCCACTCTAAAATGTGCAGTTTTGCACACAACACAATGCCACAGATATCTCAAGTTTTGAGGGAGAGTGCAATTGGCATGCTGACTGCAGGAATGTCCACCAGAGCTGTTTGCCAGAGAATTGAATGTTTATTTCTCTATCACAACGTCGTTTAAGAAAATTCGACAGTACGTCCAACCGGCCTCACAACCGCAGACCACGTGTAACCACGCCAGCCCAGGACCTCCACATCCGGCTTCTTCACCTGCGGGATCGTCTGAGACCAGCCACCCGGACAGCTGATGAAACTGAGGAGTATTTCTGTCTGTAATAAAGCCCTTTTGTGGGGAAAAACTTGTTCTGACTGTCTGGGCCTGGCTCCCCAGTGGGTGGGCCTGGCCCCAAAGTGGGTGGGCCTATGCCATCCCAAGCCCACCATGGCTGCGCCCCTGCCAATTCATGTGAAATCCATAGATTAGGGCCTAATGAATTTATTTCAATTGACTGATTTCCTTATATGAACTGTAACTCAGTAAAATAGTTGAAATTGTTGCATGTTGCGTTTATATTTTGGTTCAGTATAGTTTGAGCTACATTAACTTGTTGAGCGTCTCAGGGGCCATATGTATTAATTGTGTCAGAGTAGGAGTGCTGATTTAGGATCAGTTTAGCCTTTTAGATTACAATGAATAAGATTACATGGACAAGGTGGACCTGATCCTAGATCAGCACTCCTACTCTGAGACGTTTCATACATACGGTCCCATATCTATAGTATCTAAAACACAGTGTATTCTGTCTCACCCGTAATACAGTCCAGATGGTCCTCACTGGGCGGATGGTCAGTGCGACTCTGGTTGAGCAGGCTGAAGTGCACCAGGCTATAGGTGGCGCTATCGGGATCCTGGAAGGCTAGGGCCAGAAGAGGCCCCAGCAGGGCCAAGTAGAGCGGAGGATGCCCACAGAAAAGGTTTAAGTGCAGGCTGAGACACTCCTGGGCATAGGGAAACACCCTCCAGACCAGCACTGCCTTGTCCTCGCCTGATGAAAGGGAGAGAAAGGGATGATGATCACCATCATCATTTGACATTTTAGTCATTTAGCAGACTCTTATCCAGAGCGACTTACAGTTAGTGAGTGCATACATTTTCATACTGGCCCCCCGTGTCATCATCATCCTTATCATTATCATCACCTCCACCACTACCATCATCATCATCACCATCACCATCATCCCCACCATCACCATCATCATCATCATTATTACCATTATCATCACCACCAACATCATCATCTCATAGAGCCAATAGAGTGCTGCATACCGGCTGTGAGTAGGTAGCTGTTCTCAGGGTCTGCCTGCATGGAGGTGATTTTCTGGCCGTTGTGTGCGGGGGTCCTGTACTGCACCTTTCCTGTATCCAGTATCAGCACACTCACACAGCCACCATTGTGCCCCAGCATTACCAGGAACCTGTCCCAGGGGTAGTCATAGGGAGTCATACCATATCACTACTTTGGATGGTTGGCACACTGTTTTGAGCTCCGGGGTGAAGTTTCCCCTAGGTTCAGATCTAGGATCAGTTTCCCCTCCCCTAATCTCGGTTAACCCAGAACTCAAATCTTGCGAGATTACCCCTCTCCCAATCCTAACCTCGAAAAATGCAAAATTGAACAGCGTCTAGGGGAAACTTCACCCAACATCCTGTCTTAATGTAGTAACAGACTATAACAGATTTAACAGATTCAAACATTGAGTGCTTGGTTGGGTAATTATAGAGGGATTCATGATCAAATATAAAGGGACTGTCAATAATATCAAGACAAGTCTAAATTAGGAACACAGGAGGGATCTTACCGGTTCTTGGCATCATGAAGAGGTTTCTTGTTTGTGGGTCTCTGGCCTCTCTGCTCCTGCAGGTTCTTCCACTCCTCTAGCGCTCTCTGTCTGTCGGCTATGTTGCTGTAGAGCACCATGCAGGAGGCTGGGCCTGGCCTTGCGATACACTGATCCCCCTCCCCATCCGTCTGCTCCTCCCTCTGCCATGGACCCTGTCCTCGTCCCTTCCACTCATCCACACACGTCGCTGGATTGGTCATCGTGCTGGCCCGGATCAATGTTCCGCCCTCCGTCAGGACCAATAGAATCTCTTTGGGCAAGCAGTAATCGGCGCACCTTACCCTCTGCCCCGCGTCAAAGGAGGTTAGGACCGCCCCTGTCTCGGCGGCCACTAGCGTGACGTTACTGTGGCCGCTGACGCAAAGCACCCGGGTGGGGTAGGGCGGAGGACAAGAGAGAACTACTATCTGTCTCACGGGGCCACCCAGGTCCCCTCCCAGCTTGCAGTGCAGGTTATACAGGTTGCTGATGGTCCAGAAGTCCACTCCTTGCTGGGAGAAAGTAAAGAAGCTGCCCCCTTTCATCGGACCCCCCAGGGCCAGAGGGGGCTCCCCTCCCTCGATGGGGACACACTGGACCTGGTCCCCCCCCTCCATGCTCCAGCAACGCAGCGTCCCATCCAGGGAGGCAGAGAGCAGCAAGCCAGACTCCGGACAGCAAGCCAGAGAGGTCACCAAACCTGCACGCACGCACACACACACACATACACACACACGCAAAGTGTGTTGTGACCTTTGTTAAATGCACTTGACTTGACTAGCTGGAATCATAGGGAAGGTTTTTCCCCCAACCAAGTGGTTATCTCACCAGTGTGTCCTACAAACGCCATACAAAGCCCCCAGTCAGGACCCCACACTCTGATGGAAACATCTTTGGACGCAGTGACCACAAAGTCCAGATGAAAGCTGTACACCAGTGCAGTGATATCCCTGAAGATAAGAGACATGTTCACTCTGTCAGCAGATCAGTTGAGGTGACATTTTGCCTAAAACTGCCCACTTTCCAACAATCATGAACACACAGACACACACCCACACATTTACCGTAGGTGGAGGTTCCTTTTGTGCTCCAGAACACGTCCAGCAGTGAGGTCAACGACAACCACAGCTCTCCCGTAAACAACGAAAGCCCTGTGAGGCCTCTCGTGGCCCGGTGGGGCCAACGCCAGCTGGGTAAAAATGCTGTGGCGCCCAAGACCCTCCGTCACTCTCACCCGGCACACCATGTGAGTCAGACACCACACACACACGTTCCCCGCCCCCGCTGTCACCAGCTCCAGGGACTGCTCTGTGACCTGGCAAACCTGCACATCCAGAGGGTCCAGAGCGGCGGCAAGGGGCCGCAGCTCACTGTCCAGCAGCATGAGGCTTGCCCCGGGCCCCCAGCCCACCAGACGCCCAGGGAGCTGAGTGGAGGTTAGGCCCATGTAGGGGACAGAGACAGAGGAGGGTGGGGGGTCACGGAGACGCCCGTCTGGGTGGTACATAACGACCCTGCCTTCCCTGTGGAGGCTGATGAACCCTGCCGCCCCCTTGCCGTAGGTCATGTGGCGCACAGGGTCGTTGCAAGGGAAATTACGTAAGTGCTGCAGGCCATGGGTGAGAACAGCGCTCTTGACATCAAAGTTTCTTATCTAGGAGAGAGGGAGAGAGTTAGGGTAAATAGAAACGTCTTTGCTGATGTCGCCTACCAAATATAACGCCTCCAACCAAAGAGAGAGTGGATGCATCCCAAATGGCACCCTATTCCCTATATAGTACACTATATAGGGTATATTGGGAATGGGGTTCCATTTGGGATGTATAGAGACATTTTCTTTACCTTGTCCACATTCTGCTTCATTCCAGTGCTGAGGAACTTCCACATCCTGCGAGCTTTCCCCTTGGTGCTCTCCTCCACCCGCAGCATGCTCTTCCTGTCCAGGTCGGTTTCGTCCGCGGGGGGAAGGGAGGCCATCCCCAGGTTCTTTGGCACTCGCATATGTCTTTAGGCCTAAAGCTCAGTTTAAGTGTCAGACGCTTTAGTTCAGTTGAAATATTTTCTGGTGAAGAGGATTTGTTTTATTTCAGTCTCCAGCCGATTTTCTTTTTGCCAGATTAGACAGTCGCTTTCAAGGCACTCTATCAAGACAACACCTTTGAAATTATTGCATTTTGTTGATAGATAACTACATTATTTGTAAGTTTTCCATTATCTAAGCAGATGTTCATGTTTAGTACTTTTTCTCTATTATTGCTTTCTAAAGTAGCCTATACCTTGTCTACCTGAACGACTACGATACCGGCACCGACATGAGACATTTTGATCAAAAACATTTTCTAATCCGTCGACAGTGTCAATATTTATGAAACAGATGAAAAACACCACTAACCGTGACCATGGTAGCATCCGTAGTTCTAAACAGTAGTTATTTCTCACACCAAGGACTGTTGTCAGAGTGTCAAGTTACAACCACATTGTAGCTAAAACTCTTCCCACATTGTTGAAAATCTTTATTGGCGAGCGCATACCGTTCGTTGCTAGGATACTGGTCACTCGCTTGAGTGAAAGTTTCTGTCTGGACGCTTCTCTGATGTTGGAATGATTTCAATAATTAGATTTATTTTAGGCCTACCCAAAGCCATATTATTTGGGGCACTGAGTTTACCCACAGAAAAACCTTTTGCAAACCAGGGCATAGAGAATCATAAAAAAGACAGAGAAATACATTAAATACTTTATTTAATGAAGTAACAAAAGTTCTCTCATAGACAAAATAATGTAATTGTATTAACATCACATCAATTAAATGAACAGTAGCATCTATACATTCATCATGTTGCTTAGCCCTGAAAGTTTGGTGTCACACTTTGAGTAAGTTGGATGGGAAGAAAACACCAAGTCCATTCTTTCCTTATCTTTTTTATAAAACACACAGAAAAGTAAGACATTCTCAATATACAAAAAAAAAGTTGTTCATCTGTAAATATGCTAAAATAAAGCAATTTTTCTTTCAATATTGTGTTTCAACATCATGCCATTATGGCATCTACTGTATATAGAATACACAAAATAACAGAATGAGGAATGAAATAGATGGTCCATTTATATCTGCTTACATTCTGAAGTTGATCTCTTTACTGATCTAGAGATGACTGCGATTACCACTGTATGTACACATTTTGCCCAACACAGTGTGCCCCTGGGTTGTATCCACTAGGAACCAAATGGAAGCAAACAGGCCCGAAAAAAAACGGTTAAAAAACATTTTCAACCGTTTGCACAAATTAATACACTCCTGACATATAACTTCAAAAGGCCTCTTGCATCATGATCTGTAGTTTCTCCAGGTCAGCAGATTCAGGCACTGTAAATCTCTTGCTGAAATACTGAATTTCTATCTTCCCCGACTGCGTTGCCAGTGATATTCCTGAATATGTGTTCTGCTTTGCAGGGTCACCAAAAACAGCCATGGCTGTTACCCTGAGGAGAAAGAAACAGAAAGATGAATCATGCATCATAAAATGTATTATTGATGTGAGAATAAAAAACACCTGCCCCCAATCACTAACTGGGTGATACATCACTTATATTCCATCCAGTTAAATCCAGTTCTCTGCATTCTGCTCTTCATTAGTTATGCAGTAGTTATACAAATGACACCTGCACTTTGTTGTTTCCATATTAATAAGTTGTTTATTACACAGAACCCTCCGCATGCTTTCATTTTGTCTTGGGCCATCGTCTGACAAACATTGAAATACATCATTCAATAATTTTGTAATTGTGAGTTTTTTAAAGAAGAGTCATTCATAATTACCTGTCAGCATCAATCTTTTCAGTGATTACAGGCTCAAAGTCTTTCTCCAGCAGGTCCCATATGTGAAGGCAGGAGGCAGCATCCAGAACACAGAAGACTGTTGGCCTGGTCTTGGCCCACTGTACTGACACCACCGGCTGCCCTGCTGTACTGCTGGTCCACTCCATCAGAGGCTGCTCACTCAGCACTGTGTGTAGTCTGACACTGCCATCCCCACAGCCCACCTGGAACACAGAGAAACACACACACACAGTTCATACGTAAAACATTCACATACACACAAACATGCACAAACGCACACAACAATGAAAACCCCCTTGTCCGGAGCAGAGAAGCACACACACACATCTAATAGTAGTGATCTATATGATCTAAAACAGTCTAATCTGTGACTGTGTACACACACACACACACACACACACACACAAGCATGTAAACTATTCATACATTGCACTCAGATACATGAATCTCAACAGTACTGATCTCACCAGGAAAATGGGTTCTCCGAAGGGAGAAAAGTTGATGGAGGTGACATCAACAGGTCTGAATCCAACCACCTGAGGCCGGTAGAACTTTGGAGGAGCCTTTAACCCGTGACTGGTCCCATGGTTCACAATACCCTATGAACAACACACATTGACCAATACATACCATACGACACAGTGTGACTTTTGTTTATTCTGTCCACATGATCCTGGACATACTGGATGGATGCGTCTCAAATGGCACACTATTCCCTATACAGTGCACTACTTTTAACAAGCATTTGAGACGCATCCGCTATGTTGGGCATATCCAGGATGTCTAAAAACGCAAACAGTGAAACAGAGAGAGAAGATGATTCATTGATTTGATACTGCTCACCATATTTGTGCCAATGAAAAAATGGTTGGAATCAGAGGGCAGAAATTTTAACAGCAGCGTCTGTAACAGTGTTGTTTTCTTAGCGCCTCGTTTTGAAGACCTGGTGAGAGAGAGAGAGAGAGAGACAGACGGAAATAAATACCCAGTCGTATCAGTAGGTCACGAGATTCCAGGCAAAAAAACCACACACGACACCAGCTGCACGTTAACAGATACCTATTTAAACACTGAGTCACGTCAGTCTAGTCAGCCGACAACAACAACAACTGTCCGTACGACATGTAAAACAAGCTTGTTGTGTTCCGCGGGGCACACATTGTGGGTATTTTTGGCCCGCTGACTGGCAGTGATGAATTAAATATCTATCCGTCTCACCTCTCGCTGGTGGTAAGGACTGTGGAACTGTGGAGCAGTTTCACTTTGCCCCCAGGCCGGAGCCCTGCAAGAGAAACAGCCAGGGTCAATTGAGTGGGAGAAAAAATAAACATTGAAAGTAATGGAGGAAACATGTTAAACGTGACTGACTCACCGAGGTCTGTGTGCGACCCGGCATCGTTGGCTTTAGGGAGCTCCAGTACCACCTGTGGGACAGAGATGGTAACAACAGCATTGCAGAAAAACACACTACACTTTAATAATGATCAGTCAGTGCCGTCAGTAAACAGACCAAACCCATAATTCAAGATGACCAGTTATTCAGTTAGTGTATAAGCAGTTATAGTGGTGATGCAAAAACATGGGACGGTGTTGTAGCATACTAGATAGACACTTACCCATAGATTCAGAACCCCATTTTCATCAAGAGAAGCCAACTGGAATGACAATCCTGATGACTCTTAAGTTTGAAATTAAAGGAAGACTTTAGCTCACCATAAAAAATGCTACTATAATTGTGTGTTTTTCATAGATTATGTCCCAATTATCTTTCCTTACTCCCAAAGTGTGCACTTGTTTACTTACATTTACATTTACATTTACGTCATTTAGCTTTACTTCCCTTCACTGATTTAAAAGAAAATTACTGGTATATAAAATATGGTGAAAACTCCAACTAGCCCATGCCTGCACCAATCCAAGGCTTTTAGACTTGTGGAAAGTAGTAAACGAGTGCACAATTCAGGAAAAATGAGATATCATTGGGACGCACACAATGTCTAGTCGGAGTACCTTCATCAGAAGCCAAAAGGGGAAGCTCTGGCCTCAGGCCCTCAGCCACGGTGGCAGGGACGGCCTCCACAGAGCTCACTGATGACATGTGGCCCGACGCTACCAGCACGGCATCTGATGACAGGGTGACAGAGGTGATGACATTAACAGACATCATCAACCTACTCAAAAACAGGAGACGACACTCCTGGAATCTAGGAGTTGATAAGCATCTCTTTCAGTTCAAGAAGATATTCTTAGAGTACATATGAAAGTGCAGATGAAGTATTTTCATATGAGCGTTAGCCAAGTCAAAATGGCTGCCTTGATGTATATATTACATACAATACAATAAGAAACAGAAAGAGATGAGTTGTCCCGGAGCTGAAAAAAAATCCTTAACTTTTCATAAAAGCATGAAACTTGGTAAACTTGAACAGTTTGGGGAGCTGAACATTTTTTAAAAATGGAGCCAGAGGAAAAATCATTTGATTGCTGACCTGTGGAGAAGGTTGGGTTGCGGAGAGTCCAGTCATTCTCCCCTATCCTTAAAGTGTAGTGGGCACTGGCGTGCTCCCTCAGGTCCCACAAGACTACAGAACCCACGGACGTGCCCGCAAACACCAGCGTGGCTTTCCCAGGGCTGAAACAGCAGCAGTGCACCTGAAGAGTAAAATCAGTGAGTTGCAGTCTTGTTTCTCAGATTTTCCAGAAATCCTGGTTGCGGTTTCCTGCTTATTCTTCCAACCGGGATTTCTGGAAAACCTGGGAATTTTGGGAAAGTTACCAGAATTTTGAAACCACATCTAAAACTAGGCTCTGAGTTGCAGTGGTTTTGTGGCACCTCGGACTCGTAGACAAGAATCTTCTGTGGGCGGGAGGGCTCCCAGATGTTCCAGATACAGATGATGGACTTGCTGTCGAGGCGCACGGCGCTGGGCTTGGCTGAGGGGCTGTGCACGGACAGCATGGTCTGCCTCTGCACCTGGGAGAATTTAACCAGGCTGATCTGACGACCTGCAAGTAGGGACAACAACAGAACCGAGACAAGCTAGCTCATATACAAACATGGCAAAAATAGCATTGGTTGTTATGGGTGCTGCCTTTGGGAACACGGGCCAGACCTTCAGTTCAGGACAGTGGCAAGACACAAGTTGTTGATTGAAAATGCATGGCATGAGCTAATTAGGGACTGTTCTGCACTGCAATGACAGCAAGGTGAATGGCTCAACACAAAGTAAGGACTTTATTATTATTGGGCTTTAAGTGTGAGGTAACTTGCCACATAGAAATGGAAGCTTGGTATTGAGCTGTAAACACCCGTCGCTGAAAGAGAGAGTGTCTGCTTGAGTCCTCAGCTTCTTCAGTGATTGCTTCTCAGCCCTATCCTCTTCCAACAGTACCGCAACCACCTATTAACACCAAAACAGAGAGCACAAAGCACTAGTAACGGCAAGAAGAGGGAGTATCTGCAGTATGGCGACGACAAAATGGTTACTTTGATTCGAAGAAAAATGTACTATCATAGGCTATACCTGTGAGGCTGAGCGCAGAAATGTTGCTAGGCGCTGTGAATCGATGCTCAGTTTGGTCACAGATTCATCAGACGTATCGTGGGAAAGGTTGGGACCTGTTGCAACGTGGGAAAAAAGCACATTCCAAATGGCAGCACATTCCCTATATAGTGCACTACTTGCTCTGGTCAACCGTAGTGCCCTATAAAGGGAGTAGGGTACTATTTGGGATATAGTCATAGATTTGATAGAATACAGATCACAGTACATGTTTCCTCACCTCCACAGCCTACGTTCCTCTCCGCAGGATGCTGTGTCCACTTCTCGCTCATCTCGATCTCCTCTGTTTGAATGTCTCGATCAGTATTGTCCTCGTTGCACTGGACATAAGCCTGGAAAGTGAGGATGCATTGGGTTTATCACATTTATATGAATAAAAAGACAAGCAAGCTTACTGTCACAATGATGTCATTAATCATCAGACCAGGGTTCAGATACTATTTGAAATCTTTCAAATACTTTTAGCGTTTGCGGTAGCCTGTCTGGAGTACCAGACGGGTGGCGTTTGTACTATTTGCGACTATTCTATTGGTTCCTTTGCACCAGTCAAGCTCAATTAAGCCCAAATAAAGTATTTGAAATTATTTCGAATAGTATTGTGTACCCAGATCTGTTAAGCATAAGCATAGGCAAACCTGTTTAGTGTTTGTTGTTCCAAAGTTTTTGATGTACATGTCATATTCATTGACAGGGGGCAGATCCAGGAGGGAGAAGGTGATGGAGAAGTCCAGGTCGATCAGGCGAAGCAGCTCTGTACTGCGTTTCCTGGGTTGGGCCCATATGACATACACAGAGTAGGAGATATTATAGAGCAGGTTTAGGGAAGGAAACAGCAGCTATCTCACTCTCCAACCAAGGTGCATGAATTGAGGAGCAAACTGAAGTGAAGAGGAAATTCAGCAACTCTTGGAGGACAGTGGAAGTTGATAAAAGTGCTTCTTTAACAATAAAGAACAAATATAGCTGCGAGCAGCAATGAACAGGGTTCACAGGATGACAGAAAGAACTCGAGATCAGTTGGATAACAAAGCAAGCACTCCATCCTGTGGGAAATATCTTCCTTTATGTGCAATCAGTGAAAGCATTACCATGTTTATCTCTCAATACCACAAGGATGACACAAGTGAAGTTTAGTCTAGTGCTGTACAGTAGGTTGGTCATCTTTCAATGCAGCAGGTAGTCATTCTTAAAGTCATTACTTCATGTATTGAGTTTATATACCAATTCTGGGGTCAATTTGACTAATGGTTTAAGTTAAGATTTGTGAAATAGTTTTTCAGCGTTAGTGTTTTGATATATTGCAGTCATCTATGAATTCTGGGCCTTTATTTTGTCTAAATCTGTTTGTGTAAATGGTTTAAATCTCAGTTGTTACACTCAACATTACCATTACAAAATACTGCAATACACTCTCACAGTTGTAATACACTGACTGCGCAAGCACCAGGACTTCCGGTTTCTAATTTTCCCGAATAAAATATCCACTTTTCACTACGTTCAGACCACATAAAAGGCCAACAATATGTGATTATACAGATATACTAATCACGATATTTCACATTGTTTGTCTGCATAATTTAAATCGAACATTAATTTGCATGAAACAAAGTCCACTTGATCAATAGTTATTGCACTAGTATCCTATGGTGCCACTGGTGCCAATTACATCTATAGTGCAACTAACTGGTCTGGTGCAGCCATCTAAGGATGCAGTGGCTTTATGTTCACACAGTTTCTAAGGACATATACATAAGATTTACATACCACATATTTCATGGCCCCTTGTCTATCTGTTCAGTTCTTATTGCCCTGGTGTGACATAGTGCCATCTAGCGGTGTGCCGTGGCCGACATTGAATGCAGCAACTAATCATTCTCTAATTCATTAGAGGCTAATTCATTGAGTCTATATACCACATCTGGAGTCAATCTGACTTATGGTTTATGAGGAGAAGATGAATGCAGATGATTTTGAGCATTAGTGTTACATATGCAAAGAATGAGTTGTTAATAGTTTCCTTGTTTTTTTTTTATATCAATAACAAATCCAGTGTGGTTCATCTTATGGATATATCCATGATAGCGGTGACAAGTTTCAAGTTGATAGGCCATTGTGGAGTTCGATATCTGTGGTTTAAATGGACACCTAAGATTTTTGATATAACGCAGCCATCTTTTCACCAATCCCTTAGCTTAATATGAAAACATTCTCGCAACCCCACCATGTAAAAAAAAGGCCAATGTTTACTTTTTTAATTGGGACTCTGACAGTCTATTACAAATCAGTCTGACAGTACTTTTTAATCTGAAGGGAGTATGGTTTGAAGTGACTGAAATGCATCAGAAAGGTATTGGGATGTTCAGAAGATCATTAAGCAATAATTTTGTATGATATTCTATGTTATTGATGATGTTATTTTCCCCCCCCAGTCTGATTAAGTGCCTGGTCTTGTCCACTCTGTTCTAATGAGCCCTGCTCGGCTTGAGGGAAACAGAAGACAAGATACATACATATTCCTGAGAATCTTTCAGTGATGGGGTCATAATATTTTGTAGCTTAAACCGTTCAAATGATTGAGCAACATTTGTAGGAAGAAAACAGAAACCGCAACTATTTTTTATTTGATTTCCGATGTTCTCTCACAACCGAATTTTCAAATCAGGCAACCCCACATGGGGTCGTGACCAATGTTCCCTCTAATATTTTTCTGCACTGAGCAAATTTCAGGTCTGCTGAGCGCAAACTTGAACCTTATGAAATTTCTGTGCAACTTCTGGCGCGCGTTTACTGTGAACACTGAGGTGGTACCCGCTTTAATTTACTGTTTTAACAGTGGCCAATCAGGCTACTGTGGCTATTTGATCATAATTTACATTTACATTTTACATTTTAGTCATTTAGCAGACGCTCTTATCCAGAGCGACTTACAGTTAGTGAATACATATTTTTTTTTATACTGGCCCCCCGTGGGAATCGAACCCACAACCCTGGCGTTGCAAACGCCATGCTCTATCAACTGAGCTACATCCCTGCCGGCCATTCCCTCCCCTACCCTGGATGACGCTGGGCCAATTGTGCGCCGCCCATGAGTCTCCCGGTCGCGGCCGGCTGCGACAGAGCCTGGATAATGTAGGCCTACCAGAGTGGCCTACCATAAAAAACAATGGAGAAAATGCATCACATAACATTTTAACATGGAAATAGCAGTTCTATCATTCAGCCTACAGTATCAGCCAATACTGTGTGGTGTTCAATGTAGGCCTACATTCCATGAGACTTTTGAAAAAAAACATGCAGGGCCTGACATTAACCTGTTTATCCACTTGTCCTTCAGACAAGGAGGTGACTGTACGTTTTGTTGTGTTGTTTGATGCAGGAAACCACTTTACAAAATAATATTCATTATTATTCCCATACCATTATTACAGAGAATCAGACAAATTATGCTACCCTCTGCCTATTGGCTACTTAGCTTATTCAAGCCTGTCTCAAAATACAACACTGCCCCTTTAAGACATAAAGAAAATGCTCTTTACCTGACTTGCTTTTCAAAGATGGCTAGATGTACACTACCAGTCAAAAGTTTAAACACACCTACTCATTCAAGGGTTTATCTTTATTTTTTACAATTTTTTACATTGTAGAATAATAGTGAAGACATCAAAACTACGAAATAACACATATGGAATCATGTAGTAACCAAAAAAGTGTTAAACAAATCAAAATATATTTTATATTTGAGATTCTTCAAATAGCCACCCTTTGCCTTAATGAAAGCTTTGCACACTCTTGGCATTCTCTCATATATTTGAGTTATTTGACCATGTCAAGGGGGGGGAAAAATCGACGAATTCAGAGAATAACAATAGGTTTCACAGCTTCGCTGTGAACCCCTAATAACAATAAAAAAGCACTATTGTAAACTTCCACTGTCCTCCAAGCGTTGCTGAATTTACTCTTCACTTCAGTTGACTCACAGGCTCTAAATCTGTCAATTGTAACTGCATTTCCCTCTCTTTAAATACTGCTCACACTCACAGTTAGTTCCAGTAGACTTACTTCTGTTTGCTGGCAACCTTTTTGCTGACCTCACGATGCTTCGCAGCAACAAAGTCCATGAACCTCCCGTGCTGTGAACCTTTACTTTGAAGCGTTTCAGAATCTATGGCCAAGAAATGTTTTCGTTATTCAAACAGTCTTTGTAAAATGAGTCCTAAAAGACAGTCCTAAATAATAAACATGTCTTTATTGTTCATACCAGAGTTGTATCAACCAAACAGGCTGAAACGGGGAAGGACCTACCAGAATGATCCAATAAGAAACAATTGTTTTTGTTTTCCATTGCAAAACGTTTCGCTACGGTATGCACTCTTGAATACGACCTAGTAGTGTTGAGCATTGACTATACCTCTTGACCTTTTGGGTCTGTCGTCCTCCTCTGTGCTTAGCCTGGGCTGGGCAGAGCCCACTCTCTCGTTCTCCTCATCCATGGCTCTCTGAATGGCCTCGATCTCCTCCCTCCTCTGTGAACTCATTTCCTCCCGCTCTTCTCTCTCTTCATGGCTGTGTGTCTGCTTTTCATCCTCTCCCTCGCTCTCATCCACATCCTCAAAATCCTCCTGATAATCCTTTGGAGATAAAAAAAAACAGTTTTAAGTTGCTCTTATAATGGTGTAGTAACAATGTAATTACATTAGTAACAACAACAGTACTTTAGTAATTGAAAGTAATGGATGTGCTATTTTTTTTGCTATCTCAATGCTGCTTGTCAGTGCTTGAACACATTTAATCACTCACCATTTTCTGGAAAAGCAATCCATTTAGAGCATGTGTGATATATAATGAAACAAAAGAAAAAAACTGAAATACAAATTAGTTACTAAGAAAATTCACAGTCTATAGGCTTTGACTCTTCTCACCTCAAAGTCCTCTTCATAGTCCTGAGCTTCATCATAGCCATGGTTCTCAGCCGGAGCCTCGTCGATTTCCACCTACAGATGCAGTTCATTTCAGATGCAATTCATTTCAGATGGCAGTTTATTTCAGATGCAGTTAATTTCTGATGCAGTTCATTTCAGTCAATAGCTTGTATTTCCCATATGTAACTTCATGTGAGACCTGGGTGCGTTCAGTTTGGTTCAACGTTTGCTACGTTGCGTGGCGGTTTGTACTTAATGACACGTTTACCCAAAACAGTGCTCACCGTTCGTCCTTTCAGGTACATTTGCTCTCTTTTGGTAGGTGTGGCCTGATCAATATGGGTATGACCATTTGAAATCATAAAACTCGTGCAGCACACCATACACAATCACCCTCTGAGCCACCATAATCGTGCCGTGCTTCCGTTGAATTAAACGTTGAACACCGTTCAGTCGTACTGAACGCACCCCTGTTAGTTAAATACATAGACAAATATACAGAGCATTTACAGAAATAGTAAATCCATGTGAATGTTACCATGCAACAACCAGAAGCATTCAGTTCATTCTGAAAGTATTCAGACCCCTTGACTTTTTCCACATTTTGTTACGTTACAGCCTTATTCTAAAATGTATTAAATTATTTTTTCCCCTCATCAATCTACACACAACACCCCATAATGACAAAGTGAAAACAGGTTTTTAGAAATATTTGCAAATGTATTAAAAATAAAAAACAGAAATACCTTATTTAAATAAGTATTCAGACCCTTTGCTATGAGACTAAATTGAGCTCAGGTGCACCCTGATTCCATTGATCATCCTTGAGATGTTTCTACAACTTGATTGGAGTCTACCTGTGGAAATTCAATTGATTGGACATGATTTGGAAAGGCACACACCTGTCTATATAAGGTCTCACAGTTGAAAGTGCATGTCAGCGCAAAAACCAAGCCATGAGGTCAAAGGAATTGTCCGTAGAGCTCAGAGACAGGATTGTGTTGAGGCACAGAACTGGGGAAGGGTACCAAAAAATGCCTGCAGCATTGAAGGTCCCCAAGAACACAGTGGCCTCCATCATTCTTAAATGGAACAAGTTTGGAACCACCAAGACTCTTCCTAGAGCTGGCCGCCAGGCCAAACTGAGCAATCAGGGGACAAGTGCCTTTGTCAGGGAGGTGACCAAGAACCCGATGGTCACTCTGACAGAGCTCCAGAGTTCCTCTGTGGAGATGGGAGAACCTTACAGAAGGACAACCATCTCTGCAGCACTCCACCAATCAGGCCTTTATGGTAGAGTGACCAGACGGAAGCCACTCCTCAGTAAAAGGAACATGACAGCCCGCTTGAAGTTTGCCAAAAGGCACCTAAAGGACTCAGACCATGAGAAACAAGATTCTCTGGTCTGATGAAACCAAGATTTAACTCTTTGGCCTGAATGCCAAGTGTCACGCCTGGAGGAAACCTGCCACCATCCCTATGGTGAAGCATGGTGGTGGCAGCATCATGCTGTGGGGATGTTTTTCAGCGGCAGGGACTGGGAGACTAGTCAAGATCTAGGGAAAGATGAACGGAGCAAAGTACAGAGAGATCCTTGATGAAAACCTGCTCCAGAGCGCTCAGGACCTCAGACTGTGGCGAAGGTTCACATTCCAACAGGACAACGACTCTAAGCACACAGCCAAGACAACGCAGGAATGGCTTCGGAACAAGTCTCTGAATGTCCTTGAGTGGCCCAGCCAGAGCCCGGACTTGAACCCGATCGAACATCTCTGGAGACCTGAAAATAGCTGTGCAGCAACGCTCCCCATCCAACATGACAGAGCTTGAGAATGGGAGAAACTCCCCAAATACAGTTGGGCCAAGCTTGTAGCGTCATATCCAAGAAGACTCGAGGTTGTAATCACTGCCAAAGGTGCTTCAACAAAGTACTGAGTAAAGGGTCTGAATACTTATGTAAATGTGATATTTCAAAAAACCTGTTTTTGCTTTGTCATTATGGGGTATTGTGTTTAGGTTGATGAGGGGAAAAAAATATTTAATCCATTTTAGAATGAGGCTGTAACGTAACAAAATGTGGAAACAGTCAAGGGGTCGGAATACTTTGTATGTGAAGGCAAGCAAAGCAATGAAGCCATCAACAAAAGGTGCCACTGCAAACATTTGCCATTAATGGAAGAGAAATATCAGAACAGAATGGAGAATACTGTGGGGCCATGTGAACATAAGCAAGCTTTTAAAGTTAAATAGGTACTCACACACCAAATGCGTATCAGCCAATGCAAAGCAGTGATTTATATGCATGTGACACTAAATTGTAGCTGGTCCCATCAGACACATTAGCCCTATGCTAACCTCAACAGGTGGTACTAATTATATCCTGGCAGAACTTCTTCAGCCTATGAAAAGATCTTAGACTTTATATCCACCAACCAATGGCATTTCTTAAAATAGGTCAACCCTGGCCACTAGAGGGATATTTTAAACCCACAAATTCAAGGTTTACTTGTTCTGTTGGTCTGTAACAAAATGTTGTGTGCCAATATTGCACGGATGTATCCTTGACTAGGCTACTAGCTACTACTAATGTTAAACAAAATGTTCACATTTTCATGGCACATACTGCTAAAGCGGTTGACTTGCAATCGATTGTGCATTTAACTGTGGGGTTCGAATTGAGCCCCCCTCGCAGCAAGCGTTTTTGTTGAGGAAAGAAACTGTCCACTGCCGGTCCTTGATGCTCGATTGAAAACGCATGTGACAAAGTGGATGATTATAAAAATGCATATAAAACATTGTAGGCTTAGATTTAGGTGTACAGGTCCATGTAATATAGCCTATGCAATATGAATATTAGGCAATAATAGTGTTTAACATTTTTTACATTTTTACATTTTAGTCATTTAGTAGACACTCTTATCCAGAGCGACTTACAGTTAGTGAGTGCATATATATATATATATATATATAATTTATTTTCATACTGGCCCCCCGTTTTGTGTGCAAGGCTGAATAAAGAGGTAGCTCTTTATTGAATTCATTCATAATCTTCATTTTCAAGCTGTTGGTGTCCCTTTTCAACACAAAAACAGCGCTTGACTTGGGCAGGAGCTCACCAGAACTGTGCACCAACACCTCAAATGTTCTACTGCTTGAGTTCCTGCTCCTCTTATAAAATATTAGCTCAAAAGTATTGTACAGTTCATGCACCTAAATATGAACAGTACCGGCACCCAAAATGAGTAGCGGGCGCGGCACATATTTTAGTCCAAGTCAAGCACTGCACACTAACACAATACATGTCAACCAACAGGGGGGGGGAAAACTAATGTGCGATTCAAACCCTTGGCACAATCTGCGACAATTACGTGGTAGGCACTTTACACAGAAAGTAATTTGACCAGTGAGTCAAATACAGAGTTGCTTTGATTATCAGAACATGCTGTTGGACTTAGGTATGTTAACGACACTTCCATCCATGAACAAGTGTTGGAACACGTCCAACTACTTCAACAATTTTAATTGGCTGATGCACTTGTGCCAGGATACAATCAGCACCACCTGTTGAAGTTAGCGTAGGGCTAACTTTTAACATGCTATCTGATGGGACCAGCTACAATTTAGCATTCGGTCACATGCAAGTAAATCAATGCTTTTCATTGGCTGATACGCATTTTGTGCGTGAGAACCCATTGAACTTTAAATGCTTGCTTATGTTTGCAAGTATGGCCCCTGTATATCTATAGACAAGGCTTGTCCAGTTATCTGATGTTAGATGCACTGAAACATACAAAATGCCTCAGTCAATTTTGATCATCCCCAATTCAAAATGCAATGCTCTTGGTCTGAATTGGGTGTGTATTAAGCAGCTATGGTCCAAAACCAATAACCATGCTCTATTCTCATGCTAGCAGAGGTATTGACGGTAGACAGATATGGCCATGAGAAAAACCCCATCATGAAAAGAAGTCTTACGGGCTCCTCTGTGTCACTTAATTGTTTCTGACTAGACCTCCACGCTGACTCAGATCGCATCACTACTTCCTGGCTCACACAGGAGAAACACACAGGAAAAAAGAGCCATGAAAACACATATACTTTATATGAGGAGCATATATTGAAAAGGGTGAGGGACTGTTTATCACTTGCTGTTTTTTCCATATTCCCTTTTCCTATATTATTATATTCTTTTTTAATGATGTAAAGTGTGTTGTAAAACGCACTTTGAATAAACTCTTGACTTGACTTTGCAGTGGTACAAACCTTAGTTTTAACAGGCTCTGTCTTTTCCTTGTGAACTCTGAGGTCTGAGGATGATGATTTCTTGGTGCTGGTCCGTTCTGTGGGATCCCTCTCAGGACCTGCTTCTTCTCTGTGCCTCCTCTCTCGATGTTTATCCCTCTTTCCCTCCCTCTCTCTGTCCGACCCCTTCCGTTCCCTGTGCACTCGCTCACGATCCACTTCTCTGGATTCACCGTCATGTCTCCGACTTTCACCTGTATCCTGTAACAAAAATATACCCCAGGATGTGAGCCAGGGTGTAGGGTGAAGTTGCCCCTGGATTCTGATCTTACATTTACATCTTGGATCAGTTTAACATTTCCCCCACTAATGGTTAAGATTAGAATTGGGGGAGGGGATGCTGATCCTAGATCTGTACCTAGGGGAAACTTCACCCTTGAGTGTGAGCCAGCGGAACCAGTCAGACCATTGTGGTGTTGTTGCCTTATATTTAATTTAGGGAATAAAGAACATATGTTTGGACAATATCGAAGACGCTTACGTGTTGTGCTCTCTCTTTGTGTCTCCTTTCTCTCTCCTCCTTTTCTTTTCTATGTTGCTCCCTGTATTCTGAAATCAAAATAAACATTTAATGACATACTATGATTAGTGAGTAAGATGTTGACATATTTTTCACCTGGATAACTTTACCTCTGTCCTCCTTTTGTCCTGAATGCTCTCTGTCCGGGTGTCTTTCTTTTCTTTCCTTGTCTTTCTGCTTCTCCTGCGATCTGTCCTTGTAGCGTTCACTCTCTTTCAGATACTCCCTCTCCTTATGTCTATCTCTCTTCTCACGATCATGCTCTCTATCCCTGTCTCTCCCTCCCTCCCCCCTCTCCTCATTTCTCTTTCTAGCTCTGTCAGACCATCGCTCCCTGTCCCTCTCACCTGTTTCTCTCTCCTTGTCCTTCTCCTTCTCCTTATCCCTGTCGCTCTTCCTCAGCTCATCTCTTTCCCTCTCCGTATCCCTTTCTCTGGCCTTTACCCTCTCCCTATCCCTGTTTTCTTTTTCTTCTCTATCATGTATTTTGTCCCGACTGCCTCTGTCCCCATCCCTGTGCTTAACATTCTCTGTGCCTTTAACCCTATCTTGCTCTCTGCTCCTTTCTTTGTCTCTCGCCTCCTTTTCGCCCGTCCTGTCTCTCGAGCCGTCTTTCCTTCTGTCTTGATGTCTGTCCTTGTCTATATCTCTGGGTTTTGTTCTCTCTCGGGTACCATCTCGCTCTCTGTTCTTCTCTCTCTCCCTTCTGGCCTCCCTCTCTGGGTCTCTGTGGCGTCGCTCTACTGACTCCCCCATCCTGTGTCTTCTCTCATCATCTCTCCTCCTGCTAGAGTCTTCATCATGTCCTCCACCCTGACAATAAGACACATTATTCATTGCACTTAATACAATCAGGACAAGCTTATCATTAAAAAAAAAAGTGCTACCCTTATCACGTGACTGAACGTACCCTTATGTGCCTCCTAAGGTCATCTGATTTCCATGTATCTTCCTTTGTTATTTTCTAAATAATAGACAAGGAATACATCATTATTCTCACTGACAATACGCACAGCAATAACCAAGACTGACTTTGCTGCAAAGAACATTGGTGAATAGCTAACTTTAGCTAGCTAGTTATCAACTAGTTTGATAACCAGTCAACTAACTAGTCTTACTTGCAGATTGTCTGCTAGCAATATAGCTAGCTATCTAACGTTACTAAGTTAGTTAGATAGATAGCTAAAGCTGGTTATTCCTGGCTGGAATAACTAACGTTGGCGTTAGCTTTCTAGCAAGCTACTACTGTAACGGTGAGATGTGGCTAGTTAGCTAAATTAGCTAGTCTAACGTTACCTATCTCTACATTTGCACGCATATATGTGAACAATTGTTGCGTATTTAGTCACCATTTTACCTTATCGGTAGGCATGTTATGGCCCGTCTCTTCCTCATGAAATATTCAACTTATATCAGAAATAAAGCTTCCGAATTTGTGTTGACATTATTCAGCCCCTTGACACCAGATTTCGATTGCGCAAGCGCACTTGACTGAAACTAAGGTAAGTGCGTCATGTTCTCTTGACAACAGGATTTTCAATCGATCCAAGAGCAATCTCTATACGCAAAGAACGAATCACCATGGATACACAGTCCATATTTATTAATAGCAGATACATCTATTTATCATGGCAAGTCCAGACCCTACTCTAGAATTACTCAGTGGTGGAAAAAGTACCCAATTGTCATACTTGAGTAAAAGTAAAGATACCATAATAGAAAATGACTCAAGTAAAAGTGAAAGTCACCCAGTAAAATACTACTTGAGTAAAAGTCTAAAAGTATTTGGTTTTAAATATACTTAAGTATCAAAACTAAAAGTATGAATCATTTCAAATTCCTTATATTAAGCAAACCAGACGGCACGATTTTCTTGTTTTTTAAGGCACGACTTTCTTGTTTTTTAAATTTACGGATAGCCAGGGGCACACTCCAACACTAAGACATAATTGACAAACAAAGCATTTGTGTTTAGTCAGTCTGCCAGATCAGATGCAGTAGGGATGACCAGGGATTTTGTCTTTAAGTACGTGAATTAGACAATTCTCCTGTCCTGCTAAGCATTCAAAAAGTACTTTTGGGTGTCCGGGAAATTTACATTATTTTCTTAAGGAATGTAGTGAAGTAAAAGTTGTGAAAAATATAAATAGTAAAGTAAAGTATAGATACCCCAAAAAACTACTTAAGTAGTACTTTCAAGTATTGAACACACAGCGGTAAAAATCCCCTCAAGATAAAAACATAATATTCAATATCAGTAAGTTAGACTAAATATTAGCACTTCATATATTCAAGGGTAATAACATTCAATCTGGATAATAACACAAAACAAATTATAAGGCTAGAGAAATGTATCGACAAATATTACAACAACATGCAACACCCAAACATGACGGAAGATAAACAAGGAGAATCAATCTCCAAGAGAAAGCGTGACTCGTCGACTGATACAGATGATTTTTTCACCACTGGGACTGGTAAGTGTGGAAAGCGACCTGTTGAAGTCGATAAATGACAAACTGGCCAACTAGAGTTGGTCAGTAATTATGTAAATGAGTTGAAGGCGAGTCTTGAAATGAGTGACGGAAAAGCTGCGATAATGGAGAAAGATACAAAAAAACTAAAAGAGAAAGTCACTAAGATAGAAACGGACATTAAGGAACTTAAAAAGGAGAACAACTTTCTAAGAGAAGCCTTACTAGACATGCAAACTAGATCGATGAGAGAAAATCTAGTATTTAAGGGTATCCAGGAAAAAGAGGGAGAGGTAACCGAGACTACTGTGAATGACTTCTTTCTAACAGCGCTTCAAATCCCACTCGAGGCTGTCGATAAAATCCAACTCGAACGTGTACACCGTTTCGGACAAAGAGGACAGAGATATGAGCGTCCAATCGTTGCCAAATTTGCTTTTTTTAAGGATAAAGTAATGGTTAAAAGCCTAGGTAAAAGACTTGCTGGCACCAAAATAGGAATGAATGATCAGTTCCCGAGGGAGATTGCAGAACGGCGCAAAGTTCTGTACCCAAACTTCAAGGAAAATAGATTAATAGGGAAGCATGTTGCTCTCACTGTCGATAAACTGTATATTGACAACCAAATGTACCGTGACACAAAGACTACTCCATGGCTATTCTGAAAGTTCTAATAGAGGAGTCGAATAATGGAGCACCCAATACTAGCCATGGTAGGGATTGTAATAATAAAGAACATTTATAGTATGTATAGTATTTTATAAAAGGATAAAACGGTATTACAAGAAAAGATAACAAGCAAAATAATACATCTTCAAATACAACTAATTAGAACACATGTACTCAATCAACATAGTGGAGATAAAAACATAGCAAACAGAAGATATAGAAGGCACAGTATGTGTGGATTAATTGTGATGGAAGGTGTGGTGAGTGTTTTTGTGTTTGAATAAGTGTGGAGTTAAGTGAGTGAGAAAAGGAAATGGTTGCATGTGGTCTGATGGTCATGTGGTCTGATGAGACAAAAATAGAGCTTTTTGGTCTAAACTCCACTCGCTGTGTTTGGAGGAAGAAGAAGGATGGGTACAACCCCAAGAACACCATCCCAACCATGAAGCATGGAGGTGGAAACATAATTATTTGGGGATGCTTTACTGCAAAGGGGACAGGACGACTGCACTGTATTGAGAGGAGGATGGATGGGGCCATGTATCGCGAGATCTTTGCCAACAACCTCCTTCCCTCAGTAAGAGCATTGAAGATCGGCAATATATAAAATATTTGTTCTCCCCACTGTATATATACAGTGGGGAGAACAAGTATTTGATACACTGCCGATTTTGCAGGTTTTCCTACTTACAAAGCATGTAGAGGTCTGTAATCCAGAAAATCACATTGTATGATTTTTAAGTAATTAATTTGCATTTTATAGCATGACATAAGTATTTGATACATCAGAAAAGCAGAACTTAATATTTGGTACAGAGACCTTTGTTTGCAATTACAGAGATCATACATTTCCTGTAGGTCTTGACCAGGTTTGCACACACTGCAGCAGGGATTTTGGGCCACTCCTCCATACAGACCTTCTCCAGATCCTTCAGGTTTCGGGGCTGTCGCTGGGCAATACGGACTTTCAGCTCCCTCCAAAGATTTTCTATTGGGTTAAGGTCTGGAGACTGGCTAGGCCACTCCAGGACCTTGAGATGCTTCTTACGGAGCCACTCCTTAGTTGCCCTGACTGTGTGTTTTGGGTCGTTGTCATACTGGAAGACCCAGCCACGACCCATCTTCAATGCTCATACTGAGGGAAGGAGGTTGTTGGCCAAGATCTCGCAATACATGGCCCCATCCATCCTCCCCTCAATACGGTGCAGTCGTCCTCTCCCCTTTGCAGAAAAGCATCCCCAAAGAATTATGTTTCCACCTCCATGCTTCACGGTTGGGATGGTGTTCTTGGGGTTGTACTCATTCTTCTTCTTCCTCCAAACACGGCGAGTGGAGTTTAGACCAAAAAGCTCTATTTTTGTCTCATCAGACCACATGACCTTCTCCCATTCCTCCTCTGGATCATCCAGATGGTCATTGGCAAACTTCAGACGGGCCTGGACTTGCGCTGGCTTGAGCAGGGGGACCTTGCATTCGCTGCAGGATTTTAATCCATGACGACGTAGTGTGTTACTAATGGTTTTCTTTGAGACTGTGGTCCCAGCTCTCTTCAGGTCATTGACCAGGTCCTGCCGTGTAGTTCTGGGCCAATCCCTCACCTTCCTCATGATCATTGATGCCCCACGAGGTGAGATCTTGCATGGAGCCCCAGACCGAGGGTGATTGACCATCATCTTGAACTTCTTCCATTTTCGAATAATTGCGCCAACAGTTGTTGCCTTCTCACCAAGCCGCTTGCCTATTGTCCTGTGGCCCATCCCAGCCTTGTGCAGGGCTACAATTTTATCCCTGATGTCCTTACACAGCTCTCTGATCTTGGCCATTGTGGAGAGGTTGGAGTCTGTTTGATTGAGTGTGTGGACAGGTGTCTTTTATACAGGTAACGAGTTCAAACAGGTGCAGTTAATACAGGTAATGAGTGGAGAACAGGAGGGCTTCTTTAAAAAAAACTAACAGGTCTGTGAGAGCTGGAATTCTTACTGGTTGGTAGGTGATCAAATACTTATGTCATGCAATAAAATGGAAATTAATTACTTAAAAATCATACAATGTGATTTTCTGGATTTTTGTTTTAAATTCCGTCTCTCAAAGTTGAAGTGTACCTATGATAAAAAATTACAGACCTCTACATGCTTTGTAAGTAGGAAAACCTGCAAAATCGGCAGTGTATCAAATACTTGTTCTCCCCACTGTATATATTGAGGTGAGAGCATTGGAAATGCTGTTTTCGATGGATGGGTCCTGGCCTCTCGGGGGCTTAGGGATTCGGGGGGATGGGGGTGGTATGCTGATCACTGGGATGACGGCCCAACTTGGGATTGGGAGGGGCTTTAGCGGGGGAATTAGTGGAGAACAATTGGAGGGTTACTTAGTAGCAATGCAAATATCATGGTACAGCTATATGGACAGTCAATCGCTATGGTCTTTTTTATTGGTGAATTTACAAACATATATAATGATAAATAGATTTGAAACTTAGAGTAGTATCACGTCGGGTGAGGTTGTGTTTTCTCTAGCAGGAGGTAAGCTTGGCTTCTTATATGGTGTTGAGTAAAGCTTAAACCATGTATTTAGATTGTAGGTAGGTATTGTAGTTAGTTATTGTAGGTAGTTTATTTAGGTAGTTATTGTAGGTAATTATATGTAATTATTGTAGGTAAGTATTGTATTCGAGTGAGCCCGGTGAAGCACGAGGCTAGCTAACCTAGCGGGTAGCTACTGGTAACTTTTAGCAACTGTAGTAAAGCTTAAACCATGTATTTGGATTGTAGTTAGGTATTGTATGTAGTTTATTTAGGTAGTTATTGTAGGTAATTATTGTAGGTAAGTATTGTATTCGAGTGAGCCCGGTGAAGCACGAGGCTAGCTAACCCACTGCCTGGACCGATAGAGCTAGCTAGCTAGCG